GTACTCGCTGAGGCGGTGGCCGCGCGCCGACGAGAGGCGGACGTACTTGGTCTTGGTCGTCGTGCAGTCGACAAACGACGTGCTCGAGAGCTGGTCCCAGTTGCACGGCGCGACACTGGCCATCGCCCCGCGCTGGAACTGGTCGGTGCTCAGACAGTAGATCATGAACCCAATCTGACGCACGTAGATGCGGTTGTCGGCGATGAGCCACTGCTGCAGCTCCTGGGACGCGTTGCAGGGCGCTGTGCGCACGGTGCCATAGCCGACGTAAGGCCCCGACGGGTTGGGCACGGCCTCGAGGCACTGGCCGTTGCTCTTGGCCATCAACGTCTTGCCCGTGACGTTGTAGACGAGGACTTCGTTGCTGTTGGCGCGGACGACGTCCGTATAGACCTTGCCGTAGTACTCGGACGCGATGAGGCCCGACGCCGTGCAGAGCTGCTTCTCCTGGTAGCGCGGCGGAAGCGGGCTCGGGCACGGCGTGATGATGGTGCGGAGGTTGACGTAGTTGGTCTTGTACACCTGGATGGTGCAGTCGCCCGCGGGCGTGAAGACGAGGCGCTGCAGGTCGTTGCACTCGGGATGGTCGCCAAAGCAAATGCTGAGGTGGCCGGCCGTCGCGCTCATCTGGAGGAGCGACTCGAGGATCCAACCCGTGGGCCCGGGAAAGGCCTTGGCGCAGGCGTACGTCGCGTCGGTGAGCTCCTTGTTGCACGTGCCGGGCGGAAACTGCGCGGCGGCGGTCGCGAGGACCGCGGCAACGGTGAGGAGGCGCTGCATGTTGTTGCAAATCAAAAATGAGCTGGCGGCGCACAAGCCTCTGAACCCAAGGAATCGAGGCGCATAAACAAGTGGATCTAGTCGCATGCCACCCAAGGGGGCAGATGATAGCTGGCCTCCGAAGTAGCAAGTTGTGCAGCAGCTGGCTCGTTCCTCCTACCACACTCCTGCCCACTGGGTGCTAAAACAGAGATCTGAGAGCTGGTCTATATCCGTCCTAGCGATCAGAAAGCAGCGCTGAGTACCTCTCCTGCGCTCGTATATATATATATGAACGTGTTTCGCGTTATCTTCGTTGTTACAAAGAGTTCGCATACGTAGAGACTAGCAATCTCCTTCTTCTTCATTCGCTCGCCGGGCCGTGGCTGCGCAGGCGGCGGCGCGGGGCTGCATCTTGTTCTTCTGTAGTCGCGCGGGGACGCTTGTGGCCGCGGGTGAGGCCCATGATGACAAGTTCCGTAGATTCCTTCCAGGCGTCGCGATCGGCGGCAAAGCTACGCAGTTTGTTGAGGTCCTCGAGAGACGCCAGCGACTGAGGCGGCGTCAACGACTGGAGGTCGCGGTGCAGGACGATCGGCAACGTGATCTTGGTGCGGCCTAGGAAACGGGGCGCCTCGGGAGCGGCAAAGAAGCGGGCGGCGGCAATGTTGGCAGGGACGTCTTTCTTCAGGCGCAGCACGTGGCCCAGCAGGCGCCAGCGTTGGCGGGCGACGATCTCACTCAGCGGCACACTCTTACAGCGCTTGTAGAGCGCGACGTCGCCGAGCGTGTTCGGGTAAAAGATGCCTAGAAGACGACGCAGCTGCCGGCGATGGAAGCTGTCAAGGCCCGCCAGACTTGTTGGCGTCAGGGCCCACGTGCCACAGTTGTACAAAAGGACCGGGAGCACGTAGCACTTGTACAGCCGCACACGGTTGCCTTCCGAGATGAGGCCTCGACGCATCCAGATCTTCCACATGTTGTTGAACGCCTGCGCTCGTGTACGCCTATATGCTGTGTGGCCTGAGCACATCCGAGCAGCGACGGAAGAGTCATGAACTGCATCTGCAACTGCAACTCAATTGAGCGTACTAACAAATTGAACAAAGTGGACGCATTGCTGTCTATTCCCTAGCTAATAGAAGACCCTTGGGCGTCAGCCAAGTCAATTATGCATGGATCCTCATTTGACCCCCGTACAATACACAATGTTGTACGTGTACGCGTACACAACGTACGGTCGTAGGCTAAAAGGTTTGATTGGCTCTTTCCCAGCCAATCAGATGTCCACTTGCCATCCCCTTCATCGCCCTGTGGTACAATATATTGTAGCAGGTGAGAGCGACGTGGGCGAGGTGCGTCTTAACGCGTGGTCGGGATTGATGACAGCGACTGCGTCATGGTACCGCTCCGCTGCGACAACGGCGGCGGCGGTCGGCGCGGCTCGCGGCCTCTTGTCGACCATCGTCTTTTGCGCCTCAAAGCCGCGCAAATGAACTTGCACCACAATGCCATCCCGACGCTCTCTGTGTGAATGCAATCGAGAATGCCCATTGAAACTCAAAACTGTTGTATGTTATGGAAATGAAACATGGAAATAAGATCTTAGCTCGAGAATGCATCAATGGACCACATCTGGTTGGGGTTGTTGGGGGTGCACGCCCACATCTGCGCGTGGCGATCGGCGTACGTCGGGTCGGCGTCGAGGCACTGACCAGCGTGGGTCGCGTGCTCGAGTGTCTTGGTGGTCGGGTTGAAGTTCCACTTTTGGTTGGCGTTGTTCACATCGCAGGCCCACGTGTGCACCTTGAACTTGCCGTCGGCGCTGTCCTTGAAGGCGTCGAGGCACTGGTTGTTGCTGGCGACCTTGAACATCTTGTTGGGCTTGTCCCAGACAAAGAGCTCGTTGAAGTTATTGGCGGGCGCGTTGACAAAGAGGTTGGCGTAGTACTCGCTGAGGCGGTGGCCGCGCGCCGACGAGAGGCGGACGTACTTGGTCTTGGTCGTCGTGCAGTCGACAAACGACGTGCTCGAGAGCTGGCCCCAGTTGCACGGGCCCAGGCTCGCGACGGCGCCCCGCTTGAACTGGTCGGTGCTCAGACAGTAGGTCGAGAAGCCTGCGTCGGTGGTCGTGACGCGGTCGCCAGCGATCGTCCATTTTTGCAGCTTCTTGGACCCGTCGCAGGGCGCTGTGCGCACAATGCCGTAGCCAAAGTTGGGCTGCGGCATGTTGGGCACGGCCTCGAGGCACTGGCCGTTGCTCTTGGCCATGAGCGAGCCGCCGGTCGTGTTGAAGACGAAGACTTCGTTGCTGTTGGTGCGCACCACGTCCGTGTACACGTTGCCGTAGTACTCGGACGCGACGAGGCCCGACGCCGTGCAGAGCTGCTTCTCCTGGAGACGCGGCGGGAGCGGGCTCGGGCACGGCGAGATGACGGTGCGAAGGTTGACGTAGGAGCCCTTCCAGACGTTGATCGTGCAGTCGCCGGCGGGCGTGAGCGCGAGGCGCTGGAGGTTGTTGCACTCGGGCACGTCGCCGTAGCAGATGCTGAGGTGGCCGGCCGTCGAGCCAATGTTGGCCAGCGCCTCGCCGAGCATGCCCGACGGGCCGTTGAAGACCTTGGTGCACGCGTAGGTCGCGTCGGTCAGCTCCTGGTTGCACGTGCCGGGGACCTGGGCGGCGGCGGTGGCGAGAAGCACCGAGAGGAGGTGCGCGCACTTCATGTTGATGGACGAAATTGAAAAGTGAGTGGCTCCAGATTGCACTTGTACGGGCGGAATGGCTCTACCAGATGGTGCTGGCGCCAAAAATTCTCGGTCGACCAGGACGACGGCTCGTGTTGCAGCTGTACGTCGCTGACCACGCCGAGACCGACAACGATCCTGCGAGCATGGACCTGAACGCGGTCGCTCGCGACAGTGAGGATCGCGGCGGAGCCAGCTCACGTTGCAGTTCGTTCGAACCTGGCGCATGAAAAAGCGTGCAAGGTGCGATGCGGCGCTGCTTGGTCGGCGTTCGTTCGTGCGCTGCGAGGCTTTGCGGCCTCCTCTCAACCCAACACGCTTCATTTTTCAAGCGCCTTTGCTTTGCACGTTTCTTGTCGTCCAAAGTAGGTACCATTCCACCGGTTGTCGCACTTGAAGCTTCCGAGCGCCTGTCGTCGGTAGCCCAGCTGCTCGATTCCGACGGCTTCAATCCTACAGCCTTCCTGTACGCCCCGATGCACGAGACTTGGTGGCTTCAGCGCCAAGCAGACGAGAAAGTCAGCGCTTTCTGTTTCTACAAGGCGTGAACGGTTGCCGGCAACGCGGGGTGCCGGGTTGTATTGGTGTATGCGCCAAGTGCCTGTTTTATGCGACACCAAGCTCTTGTCCAAGTTGAGTGTACGCGGCTCTACCGCCCGAATCGTCGACGCTGCGACAGTGGTCGCATGCCATGCAGCAAACGAGTCGGAGCCTCACGAGGTACCTGCCGATGGCCTAGGAGTCGACGCTACAGGAATATTGATTTTGCGTTGCACTGCAGTCCCTTGAGGCTGCGCGGTCGCAAGGGCCAACCACCTCGTCTTCGCGCCAATGAGATCGTGGAAGCATCTTCAACTGCGACAGATTCACTCACTTGCGCCAGCGCCCAAGCTACTGTCGACGAACTCGAGGCGGTGCATGGTACCGAACCCTGGCGAACGAATGTGGCAAGCGTCTCGGACACGACCAGCGACCAGGTGATCGTGCACGTGATGCGGTTGCAACGGCTTGGGTGCCAAGGCTCGCCAATGTCGAGTTTGCACTTCCGAACGCGTAGACCAAACATTTGCATTCTATCAACGTATCAAATGGCAAGTACTGTCGGGTGGTCCGAGTACAGGAGCCTGCGTACGACCTCGAGCGAGCTTTCACTCGGCGAGTGGGGTCCACCACGGGATGGATCTCTCCGTGCGCAGCTCACTCCCAACGACCAAGTGCTGGTGCTGACTCCCACGCATTCAGGCGTAGCACTACGTCTGCGAAGTCTTTCAGTTAGTTTTTGTGCTAATTCGATTTCAACGCGAACACGTTTGATTGATTGATTGATTGATTGATTGATTGATTGTATCAAATGGCAAAACTAGGTTTCGACAAGGTCCCAGTGGCCCGTCGATGGCTGCCACCGGTAGCGCTGCTCTGCACTGAGAATTGCCGTGCGCTCGTCATCACTCAGGTCGAGGACGGCTCCCGCCGCGTCAAAACGCGCCTTCAAGTCGGCAACGAACTTGGGGCCCTCGGCTGCGGGCGACGTCGAGAATCGCTGCAGGAGCTCGGCGTCCGAGAAGCCCCGTACATGGGCGAGATACTGGCGCATGCGTGCGGCCGGGAGGTCCGAGTGCATCCAAAAGCTGCGGTACGGGCCGACGACGCACTCGAGGGCCGGCTCGGCCTTGAGCACATAGAGCGGCGTCGCGGGCGTCGACGTCGTGCGCCGGAGAAAGTTGGGACCGCGGTACGCGCCGGGCGCGTAGTCGATGGGCGCGAGCTGTGCATCGCCGTCCAGAGTCGGCAGCGCGAGGAGGCCACGGACCTTGGGCTGCGACGGCGACGACCCTGGCACCGTGTTGGTCTGGCCGGTCGCCCAGAGGAAGATCGAAGAGGACGCAGGTGCTGCGTGCATGGCGTCGACGATACTCGCGATGATGCCGGCGCCGACGTCGCCTTCGTCCATGTAGCCGCCGACGACAGCGATGCGCGTGTCGACGGCGCCGAGCGTGCGCTGCCAGTGCGCAAAGAGGAAGGCCACTTGGCCCGGCGAGTCGACGTGCGCGAGGCAGAAGCAGGTCGGCGACTGGAGCACGAGGATGCAACACGTCGTCGCGTCGTCCGAGGCGAGCGCGAGCGGCGCCGACGCGAACGAGTAGGCGGCTTCGCCCTGCGCCACGTAGAGCACGGGGAATCCGCGCGCGTAGCTCGAGTCGTCGGTCGTCGCCAGCACCGGCGCGCCGAAGAAGGCGTCCGCCGCAGCGCAGAGCGCCGGCGAGGCCGCGATCTCGTCCGCCGTCGTCGTCGGCGTCACCAGCATTGCGTGCGATTGTGGGCACGCCCCCTCTTACCGCCCGTGCCACAAATAGCCACCTATAGATCTGATATACCACATTTACTAGCTTTTCACGCTCCCAACCTTCGCATGAGGCCAGCCGGGCTCGCGCTTCTTCAAGTCGGTCGAGCATCTGCGCCGGACGCGCTCCATTCCAACGTGTTGGCTTTATGGCGCGGAGCTGTCGAAGAGGCTGTGCTGCAGTAGTAATCAGGCACGATCATCTCGCCACCGCATTCTTCAATTCGCCGCCTACCATGCTACGTCCACTGACCATCGCCGCCGTCCTCGCGACGGCCACCGCGCAGCTCCAAGAGAAGAGACTCTGCACGGCGACCGGGCTCATTGTCTCCGAGTTCTACGGCAATCTCTACGCGGACGTCGTACGGTCCAACAGCAACGAAGTCTTTGCTTACAACCCCACGGACAAGACGCTCATGGCCACGAGCAACGGCGAGTGCCTCGAGGCGCAGCCGTTCCCGCCGCGCCCGTACTTGGGCTACGGCGCCTTGAGAACCGCGCCGTGCTACCCGTCCAAGCCCATGCAGCAGTGGACGCTCCAGAACGACCGCGTCTACATCGCCGAGTCCAAGTCGCTGCCCGCGTACTGCATTGATGCGCACTCGATCTTCCAGCCCGGCGGCAACGTTGGCGTCGGGCCGTGCGACTTTGAGAAGGTGACGTCGGCCACACTGCTCGACTGCACGGTGGCCAAGACCAAGTACGTCGCGCTCAAGACGCTCACGACCGGCAAGCGCCTCAGCGAGTATTACAACAGCCTGTACGCCAACGTGCCCGCCAACAACTTGAACGAGATCTTTGTCTGGGACAAGCCCAACAAGATGTTCAAGGTCGCAACCAGCGGCAAGTGCCTCGACGCATACAGAGACCCAAAGAAGATGTACCACATGCACATGTGGGACTGCGACGTCGCCAACCCCAACCAGAAGTGGAACTACGACCCGAGCACCAAGACGCTCGAACATGCGACACACGTTGGCATGTGCTTGCACGCCGACCCGACGTACTACGACTTCCGCGCGCAAATCATGCCCTGCACCGCCAACAACCCCCTCCAGCAGTGGACCATTGGCCCGCTCCTTGCTTGATACATTGATATCTCTCACTAAGATATTCTTATTTGGTGCATAACTACATACTGGCTTTTCATACGAGCCAACTAGTATTGTACATATAGAACTGCTCTACCGGATCGGTTGAGAGTCGTCAACGCACGCTTGGACCGAGGCGGGAGGTGCCATTCGTATGCAGCTATTGGCACACTCTTCTTTAAAGCGCTGACATAGACAGAGAGAACGACCACATGCGCCGACGACTATAGCGCGAGGATGAACACACGTCGTCTTCAGCATTCGAGTGTTGAACAAGTCGGCGGTGGCGCCATCTTCGTCGCAGTCAACGCCAGCATTGTGGCTGCCACAAGTAGTAGCTGCCAATGCCACAAATACATAAATCACCCAAAACAGGCCAGGCAGAGCACGAGGCTTCTTCAACTCACTCGAGCATCTGTCCGCAACGCGCTCCATTCCAACGGGTTGATTGTGTGGAGCAGAGCAGCTGTAGAGAAGGTTGAGAGAAGGTTGCGATGGGCCCTTGCCAAGTGCAAACTCGCCACTTCATTGTTCAATTCACCCCGTCCTCTGCAATATGCTGCGCCCACTGACCGTCGCCGCCGTCGTCGCAACTGCCGTCGCGCAGCTCCAAGAAAAGAAGTTTTGCTCGGTGACCGGGCTCATTGTCTCCGAGTACTACGGCCGCATTTACACGGACGTTGTCCGCTCCAACAGCAACGAAGTCTTTGTCTACAACGCCACGGCCAAGACGTTGATGGCCAAGAGCAACGGCCAGTGCCTCGAGGTGTACGCCTACCCGCCGCACCCGTACTTGGGCTACGGCTCGTTGAGCACGTTGCCGTGCGATGCGTCCAAGGCGCTGCAGCAGTGGTCGCTCGAGAACGACCGCGTCTACATCGCCAAATCCAAGTATCTGCCCGCGTACTGCATGGAATCGCACAACGCCTTCCGGCCTGGGTCCACCGCCGGCGTCGGGCCCTGCGACTTTAGTGAGGTGGCCGCCGACACCGTGGTCGACTGCGCGACCGTCAAGGACAAGTACATCACCATCAAGACGCTCAAAACCGGCAACCGCCTCAGCGAGTACTACACGGGCCTGTACGCCAACGCGCCCGCCAACAACGCCAACGAGCTCTTTGTCTGGGACAAGCCCAACAAGATGTTCAAGGTCGCCAGCAACAACCAGTGCTTGGACGCGTACAAGGACGCCAACGGCAAGTTCCAGGTGCACACGTGGGCCTGCGACGTCAAGAACGGCAACCAGAAGTGGAACTTCAACCCGACCACCAAGACACTCGAGCACGCGACCCACACTGGTCAGTGCCTCGACGCCGACCCGACGTACACCGATCGCCACGCGCAGATGTGGGCATGCACCCCCAACAACGCCAACCAGCAGTGGTCCATCGACACCTTCTATGGCTGATTGCATATACTTGATACCTTTCGTGTCATTAAATCCCAATAACGTGGTTTTTGGGAGCGAAACTAGCAGCGTTTAACTGGAGCTTGCTCGTCCTGAACCTGGAAAAGGCCGGATTTACACGCTATGACAGTGTCAACATGCGATCGCAAATGACTCTGTTCAGGCTCGCAGCGCTGCAACGAAGTGGGGTCGGGTTGCTAGCGTAAAGTGCAATGTCGACAACTAGGGAAGCATTTGGCTCGCGGCGACGAGCTTTAGTGTAGCCGAGCTGACGACGAAATTGGCTTCGTTGTGGCTGGCGAGCTCTTAAACAACGACATCATTTCTCTTGAGCGCCGTGGTGCGGACCAGTCGCTCTTACTCGAAGCCGCCTTGGCAGGCGTCTCTCTGGATGCGCGCGAGTCGATCTTCTCGAGCGCAGCCATCTTGGCTGCATCGGCCTCACGGGCGCGTGCTGTCGCATGGCCCCAGCTGTCGCTGCGTGGCTCGTCTTCCTTGGTCGGCTTGTCCCTCTTGGCGCACCGCCATAGCCTCAGTCAGCGCGGCAGCATATAACGTTAGGCTCGTCGCATCGTGACGCTTTTGCTCAACGTAAATCTTTGCACGCTGACCAATCAGAACGCAGATCCACTGTGCATTTTGCCCAATCAGAGACTACTCGATGGCCCATCGGCGAGCACCTGCTGGAGCAGCAGATCGCCCACGCATTATCCGTGGGCTGGTGTCTATTACCAGGAGGCTTCTGCCATTTTGAGTACGACGATGCAGCCCGAGTCGGAATGCATAGCTTGCCGTTGCTGGCTTCTCGATCGCACCAGCTGCGATAACGCCTTCTCGCCGCAAAAAAAGTGGGCAGCCGAATGATATGCGTGAAGAGGATCGGGATGCTTCCATCCTTTCGACAGCTCCTTCGACGCTGACCACTTTGCGACTCGCCACCTCACCCACAGCAGCATGCACCGTTCGCTGCTTCTGGCCGCGCTCCTCGCGTCGGCAGCTGCGCAGTTCACGCCTGGCACGTGCAACAAGGAGCTATCGGACGCAGCGTTTGCGTGCGCCAAGCTCTTTCCTAGCCCGTCGGGGTCGCCAGCCGACTCGTTCAACCAGATTGCGTCGCCCGACGGCCACTTGCGCATCTGCTACGGCGACGTGCCCGAGTGCAACGACCTCCAGCGGCTCGCGCTGACGCCGGCCGGCGACTGCACGGTCCTGGTCTGGAAGGGCGGGTATGTCAACCTCAAAACGGTCATCTCGCCGTGCCCGAACCCGCTCCCGCCGCGCCTCCAGGAGAAGCGGCTCTGCACCGCGACGGGGCTGATTGCGTCCGAGTTTTACGGCCGCATTTACACGGACATTGTCCGCAACAATGCCAACGAAGTCTTTCTCTACAACGTCACCGCCAAGACGCTCGTCGCCAAGAGCAACGGCCAGTGCCTCGTCGCCGTGCCCGGCCCGCCGCACCCGTACTTGGGCTACGGCGGCGTCATGACCGTCCCATGCCAGCCGTCGGCGCCGCTGCAGCAGTGGACCATCCAGGACCAGCGCGTTGCGGCGACGACCGCCGGGATGGCCTCCTTCTGCCTCGACACCAACCCGTTCCAGCGCGGATCGGGCGCCAGCGTTGGGCCGTGCAACATGGGCGCTCTCTCGACGACAACGTTCGTCGAGTGCGCAAGCCTCACGACCTCCTACATCACCATCAAGACGCTCACGACGGGCCACCGCCTCAGCGAGTACTACACCAGCCTGTACGCCAACGCGCCCGCCGACAACTTCAACGAGCTCTTCACGTGGGACAAGCCCAACAAGATGTTCAAGGTCGCCAGCAACAACCAGTGCTTGGACGCGTACAAGGACGCCAACGGCAAGTTCCAGGTGCACACGTGGGCCTGCGACGTCAAGAACGGCAACCAGAAGTGGAACTTCAACCCGACCACCAAGACACTCGAGCACGCGACCCACACTGGTCAGTGCCTCGACGCCGACCCGACGTACACCGATCGCCACGCGCAGATGTGGGCATGCATTCCCAACAACCCTAACCAGCAGTGGTCCATCGACACCTTTTATGGTTGATTCCTTGATACTATGGGGTTGATACTTTTAGCGAAAATACATGTTAAGTCCTTCGCTTACCTCCATGCGCTTCGAGGACATCGCAGCGAGCAGTCGCACGTACTATGTTGGAATGTTCACGCTCGTGCTGTGCCTCAGTCTCGTAGCAGCCGTGGCCGAGCCAATGCAATGGTACGAATTAGAAAAGGTGCGCACGAATTACGTTAAAACGTACTCGGCGGCGACAGTTTCACTCGACGATGGCCTGGCGCTGGGCCGCGATCAGTAGCGCGGTGGGCATGGCCTTGGCCGCCGGTACGCTTGCCTGAGGCTGCCAGCTCGAGCTCATGCAGCTACTACCATGGTAGGACCTGCCTTTACGTCGACGCTCGTGCAGCTCGACCGGTGCACGCCGTCGTCGACGACCGCGGCTTGCCTCGCGTACGAGCGCTGCAAGGCGACGCATCGCTGTGGCCGCGCGGTCGAAGGTACCGCTCCGTCGCCGCCAAGTCTCACGCATGGCTAGAGTACACGATCGCGACGGCGACGCTGCAGAGCTTTGGGCAGCAGTTTTCCGAGGGCAACCGCACGGCCATTCCGCTCATGAACGACTTTGAGGACTGGAAGACGGGCATGCTCGGCTGGCGCATAGCGCCCAGTACGTCGTCTGGTTCGAGGACGATGCAGTAAGGAAGAGACGTAGGCTTTGCGCCGCCGACGCCCTTTGGCCTCTCCTCGTTCGCGTGGCCGGTCCTCGGGTCGCTCGAGCTCGCGCACGGGACGCTTCTCATTGACACGACGACCGCTCGCATCAGCGGCGACGTCACTCTGCAGGGCGTCGTGACGCAAACGGCCGCCAACACGACGGTCGCCGTCTTCAATTTCCTCACGCTCTACCTCGTACTCCGCTGTTGAGATTTCGTTGAATTTCATCGCCTCTTGTCTAGGGCGACCAAGTCCGCGTGCAGCTTAAAGGCGCCAACGCACTCGCGCTCCTCAGTCGCAGCAGCGCGGTCATTGACACACCGCTCGTCGCACCGTCGGGCATGCTCGGGGGTTCCGGGGGGCGGGTACTCGGCGCTGTACAATACCAACGGTCCTGGCAGCAGCAGCGTGCGCGCGTACGTGCATACCATCTCAACAACGGCGACGGTCGCGCCAACGATCCAGCAAGTGACCACCCGCGCGGCCCCGGGCCAGACCATCCGAGGTATCTTGTTGGTTTTGCTCGCTTTTTTCAATTTTCGACCTGTAGGAAGCTTTGTGCTGCAGCTGCGCCACGTCAATTCATCCGAAATTCCCTTTGACGCGTCGGCGCTCGACGTCAAGCGAATCATAGAAGACAGCTTTGCGTCCGTCCACGTGGGCGTGGTCGAAGTACGTTCTTGGTACAGCCTTCGTCGACTAACGTGGACCATTTAGGTCCATAAAATCGGCCAAGACGTCGCCAGTGTGGGCCGCACGTGGCGCATCACGTTCTTGACGGCCGCCGGACAAGTACCGCTGCTCGCGAGCTTTTCTCGACTCACGGGACTCGACTCGACCGTCGAAACGAGTCTTCTCTCCCCAGGTTGGCTTCGTGTCAAGTATAAGACTCTGTACTGATCCAATCGTAGGCAACCAACTCGACGGCTTCTTTCGCCTTGGATTCCTTGGGCAGCTGTCGCCGCCGATTGCGTACAACATCAAGCCTCGCGCGTTCGAGGTAGGTCATGTAGCACCGTCGTCTCGTCTCCTCACTCGGTTGACACTCCGTAGTCGCTCTTACTCCAGGCTTTCAATCTCACGACGGCGTACGTGCAGCGCTCGGACCCACTCGACCAGTGCGCCCAAGGAGGTGCAATTCTGATCGTCTGTCATGCGGAAATTAAGACACTTGAAAGTAGGCATCGTTGGCCAGCCAAGTCCGAGTGAGCCTGCGTGGCTCTTGCCCGACTCGGCCAGTCCGTCGCCGCCGCTCTGTGGCTCAGCGCCGTCCACTGTGCGCGGCTATATCTGGAACGTTCAAGTCACAACGACGCGGTGCGAATGGTTGTGCGATGCTTGCTACATCCCTTGGACTAGCGGCAACGTCAGCCCCACGAGCCCCACAACGTTCTTGACGCCGACACCTCTCGACGCGTTCGTGGCCGTCACCGCCAACTCGGAAGGCCCAACGCTGCTCGGCGCCGGCGCCTCGGTCATCATCTCGAGCGCGCTCGGGTTTTCCATGGCCTACGGTACCTCGCGTCGCGGGAAGTCGACCTCACCTCCCGGCAGGTGGGGCCGGTGGTGCTTACGGTGGTGTTGGTGGCGCTGGATATAGCAGTCCACGACCTCCGTTGACCTACGGGGACGCGGTAGTCTGCCCATACTGTCGGTATCTGCTAGATGAGCTGCTAGGCGATATCAGACCTTATTGGCGGAAGTGGCGGCGCCGGTGGCGGCCAAGTCGCCATCGATATTTTGCCGCATCCGAGACCCATCCTAGGGGGCGCAGGTGGCGGTACGCACGCGACGTGTGGCATTTGCCGTGTGTAACTATACCACTAGGTGCCATGTACATTGGCGCCGTCAATGATGTGACGATCGGACCGTCGGGGCTGCTCACGGTAAATGGCGCCCCGGGCGAGGCCGGTTTCTTTCCCGGCGGCGGTGGCAGGTACTTGAAACCTTGATACTTTTTCTCGAGTTGCCGGCTGTGTCTAGTGGCGGATCGCTCGTCGTGACCAGTGGTACGAGCGTCCACGTCCTCGGCGTACTCCAAGCGGTGGCGGCGCTGGCGGCAGCAGCAGCCAATATCCGCTCGGCGGCGGTGCGGGTGGCGGCGGGCGCATCAGCATCCAAGCCCATGCCTACGCCGTCGCACCGACCGGTGCGATGCTCTCGCAAGGCACGCTGCACTTGGACCTTCAGACCCAACTCCAGTGTACTACGATTTGGGCTTTGGTTGCGTTTGAGTTTGATGCTAGTGTCCCACGACCCGTTTCGAGGCGCGGCCCAAACCGCCAAATCGCTCTACTTGGCCAAGTACACGTTGGACCCAAACCCGCGCATGGAAGGCCCCGCGTACGCGTTCCCGCCGTCGCGGCCGGCGCGCATCTCGTACTTTACGATGGTCGGCGCGACGCAAGAAGGGACGCTTGCTACGAACCGAGGTGCGATATTCAACGGCCTAAATTGAGATTGCTACAAGAAAACAAGGTGCGGTGTTTGGGGCCATCGGCGATGCCGACGCCACGACCTTCGTGTGGGCCATTGGACTCGTCAACGGCCGCTTCACGTACGGAGCAGGGCTTTCGAAGCACGCGCAGCCGCTTCGCGAGCTCTACACCGAACCCGTGGTGCCTTTCCGATGGTATCAAGTTGATGTTTTCATGGACTGGACACGCTACACGCTCTCGATCCGACTCAACGGCGTCACGGTGGCTACCAACGTGGCCTTTGCGACAGGTATCGATCGTATAAATGGAGGTGTGGGAGGCGCAACTCGGCTCTAGACACGCTCGCGACGGTCGGCATCTACCTCGTCGATGCGATGCAGACGTGGTGGGATGAGATCTACGTTGGCAGCGACGAGACGCTGCAGTTTGCATGTCCCCGCATGCACCCCGTCACGGGTCGACTCTCGGTGGCTCCGCGACCGCGGCCGCTTTGGAACCCGGCCGTTCTAGGGCCGACCACCGCGTTCAGCGCCAAGGTAGACACGGATGGAATTGCAAATGTTGTGGACATGTTGGCTAGGTCCGCCATGCAAGCCACGTCTCCGCCCGCGCTATCTACCGTTACAATGACGGCGGCTTGGTCCCGAACGATGGACCCGCGCACCGGTCGTACTTGAACGATATTCGGTACCAACTTACTTTTGGCATGGAAAAGAGGCCGAATCGCGTGAACCAGAGATGCGCGAACCTACGACGGGTCGGACGACACGCTCATCGGTCTCGGCGAGCTACTGCACGTAGCACTGCCAATGGACCCGTCGATCGTGCCACCGTTAACGCCCAGCCCGGACGCGCCGCCACAGGCGACCTTGCGCACCCCCGACGGTGCGACGGCCAGTCATGTGGGATGGCTCACGACGGAGTTCTATTAGAGACCGCCTACTGGTACAGTGAAGTGTACCATGGCAGTAGTGGCGGCATCGGCGCCTGCTCGACCCATGACGGCGGTCGTACGTGGCGCAACGAGGGCGTGATGCTGCATTTCGCCAACTTGAGCGACCCCTTTGGCAACACGCTGCAACGGTCGCTGCGCGGGTCGCGACCCAAGGCACAAGACATGCATGAAAATGGTTCCAGAACGTGGTTCAATTAGGTGGTTTTTAACGCGAACGGCCAATTTGTCCTGTGGCTGCACGTCGACAACGCTGCAAATCAGGTTTGGCTCCAATGGCGGTACGATAGCATGACCGAAGTCCGCTAGATGGGCTTGAGTGGCGTCGCGGTCGCCGCGTACCCCAACGGGCCGTTCCAGTTTCTTAGGAGCTTCTACCCGATGGCCGCGACCGAGGCGCCGGGGGGACAGCCCATCAACGAAACTCACGACCACACGGTCTTTTGCACCAGCAATACGGTTCTTCTTCTGCTGCGATGCACACAATTCACTGAGAAATTGGGTTGTAGGAAGCCTACCTCGTGCAGAGTTACTTCAAGACGGTCGAGTACTGGCTGCCGCGGCCCATCATGGACCCGCTCTGGGAAAGCGTCAAGCACGCGGACGGCTCGACGTACTTTGCGCTCAATTACCACCGCGCCTTCTTCTCCGATGCGTACGATGCACAACTTGTCTATGAAACGAAGGACACGATGGTAGGTATGACAACGTCGACGACATTTACCTCCAGCGCTTTCGGTCCGAAGACATTGACTGGAGCATCTCGTGCTGCAACCGCACAACGCATGTGTGCTCGACCAGCGTCGTGAGTACGTACTACCTCTCGAGTTGATAGATTGAACGTTGAGTGCGGGGTAGTTGCCAATCGGTACTGTCCGCCGCAGTACCGCAAACAAGTCAACGGCCAAGGCCAGGGCGGACGCTCGATCCAGTCGCGCTACAAGGTGCGACGACCCGACAGTCTCAACAACACGTTGAAAATGCACTGGCTTAGGACCCCAATGACCCCGAAAACAACGCGTTCCGAGCGCACTCGGTGCCGTCGCACACAGACTGGGGCTTCTCCGTCTACAACATCAAGGTCGACCGAGTTGATGCGGCCACGCTGACGAGAAGAGCGATGCGTAGACGTGGCGGGGCACGTACTTTGATGCGCTCTCAACCAACATCACGCGGCTCCTCTTTGAAACGTTTGCGGGCATGTCGAGCGCCTACGCGACGCCTCCGTCCCTCCAAGTGGGCGACCTCTCGGGTGCGATGCCGGCATAAACATCGTTCTCGCTAGGTCACGTACCCGCTGCCAGGCGAGAGCGCGCCGTATATCAACGTGACGGACCCGCCCAACGTCCTCGAGTTGATCCTTGAGACGATGGGCGTCCCGCTGCCGCGGTCGTTCGTCGCCAAGTTTGACGACTTTGATATCAAGTACATTGACGGGAACGGCGACGGCAAAATTACGCTGGACGAGCTCGCGACGCTGGTACCACACGGTGTTGTAGACACTGTATTTGACCGGCCGGTGTAGCAAACAAAGGCATCAAAGTGCTGAGCACCGCGACGTACAATCTGTTCCAGACAGAGTTTGCGGCACTGAAACGCGCCCAGCTCCAAGCGCTCAACCCGAACGGGGACGACAAAGTGACGTACGCAGAGTTTGCTGCGTGGATCGGCAACGACCCTGGCCTCATGTTTGACCGCTTTGACTTGGACAAATCCGGGTTTCCAAACACTGGATTTGTACAGTGTCTAATGACGCGATGGTAGGTACTTGGACGAGAACGAGCTCTCGCGCTTCTTCATCGACCGCCAGCTTCCGCGCTTGGACCTAATTTCGATCCTTCTGGACCCTGACTTTGACGGCCGCGTCTACTACGACATGTTTGAGAGCTTTGTCCTCAACGTATGTATCAACGTATCAACGTATCACTTCTTCGCCCTGACTTTATGGCATGGATAGGCCACGACGGTGCTCTTTGTGCAGTACGATTTTGACCGCTCCAACAGCCTTGACAGCGGCGAAATCGCACTGCTTGAAGCCGACCTCGGCGTCACCTTCCTCGACACGTCGGTCCTCGCACGGCTCGTGGACCCGACTTCGCAACTGTACCCTCACTTTGGTTCGTGATCTTATGGAGTCTTAGGTTGACCTTTTCCGCGTACCAGCAGTGGATGAGCGCTTCGACAAGCCTCGTCCATGACCGCGTCCAGCAGTACCCTGCGGCACCATCGCGAGAGCCTTGCAATGATGTTCTAGGTACAAAATCGACAATGCAATCGTGTCGACGCGACCCGACCGGATGACGGGCCCTCTCCACGTCGTCGAGCAGCGCCGGGCAAAATATCTCAGCATCTCACGCCTCGCACCCGACTTTCTCTCGACCGAGGTAGCAATTGTTGATTTTGGCTATTTTTGATGGTTTTCAACATTTCTGCACTAGGCCCTCGTGGTTGAAATGGAAGGCGACTTTGACGGCGAGGGCTCGCTCGTTGACTTTGCGCGCTTCAATATTCCCTTTGCCGATCTCAGTGCTCTCGCAACACCCCCGCGCACTGTACCCTTTCGTCAATTTCTCGGTAGACACATCGACAAGCATAACCTAACCCGCGCCATGATCTCCATAGCACCCGCCGACTTTGGTCACGTGGCGAGTTACTGGAACGGCTACCAATGGGAGCTCCGACCGTCGGCGCCCGCTCGCTTCACCTACGGTGCGGGACATTTCAAGATACATGTGACGTGAGCGCGTCATTTTAGGCACCGAATGTGCGACGCTCACGCCGACCAACAACGCCGACTGTCTACCGTGCGCGTCGCAGTCGCCGTACATGTCTCCGCTTGTCCTGCAGTACCAAAGCCTCGTGCCGACGCTGGACCAGTGTCGCAACGACAAGGCGCTCGATGCGTACATCAAGCAGTTTGACCAGCAAGTGTCAATCACGCTTCGGTACGATGCCTCGTCTTTGACTCGTTTTGACGATATTACGGCTTTAGCTTCCAGCAAGTGGCGCAGCTGACCTCGGCGGGTGTCCAGCCGCACTATACGCCGTGCTTCAACCAGTCCGAGTCGGTGCCGTGCGATGTGTTCCAGGCGTACGAAGGCGGCGTCGGCGATGCGTCGCAGGCCACACCGTGGAATGTGGCGTGGGACCGGAGTCCCCGCAACGTCGGCACGTCAACGAAATTGCGCGCGAGTCCGATGCAGTCCACGTCGTTTGGGCAAACCTTTGCCGAACGGTACCCGGATCGATCCCGAGCTCCGCCAAGTACACTCGATATCAACTCGACCAACGTGCCCGACCAATACGGCAACGTCCTCGGCGGTGGCTAGTGTTTCAACGTCAAAAATTGGCTGTCACTTTTGCACAAAAAGCCTCTAAGACTACAGACACCACGCCGACGGCGCGGCTGGTCGCTGGATCTCGTAGATGAGTGGCAGCGACGACTCGGGATCGAGCAGCTCTGCTTGCGGCGGACGTGTCAGCACATTAAACGGAAACGTCGACGCATTGCTAGCGTCACTGACGCCCCGGGTGTCCATGCAAGAGAGCAAGCTCAGTCGTAGCGTCTCTTGACGTTGCCCGTTGCAGTAGGCAACGAGGAAGCAGTCGGTGGCGCGCAAGCTGATGGTGGGGCAGTGCTTGAGGTGCGGATCGCGCTCGATGGCTTCGTGGATGCTGCCGCCGAGGGCAGTCGCCCCCGGTCGAAGGAGCCGAAAGCAGTCGAAAACGAGCCGGCTCTTGAAGTTGTTGTACGTGTAGCTGCTATAGTTGCGCCGGCGAAATGGGCTCGCCTTGCAGCAGCCTACAAGACACCACTGAATGCCACACCATTGGTAAAGAGAGGGATACAGCGGCGGAGGAACCCATAGAGCACGGGCAGGATCGCAATGTTGAGTGTATAGACCGCGATTGCCAAGGACACTTCGATTTGGTCGTCTCGGGCGTCCACGGCCGTAAAGTACGTAAACGACCACTGGTAGAACGCCACCATGGGCGGCAAGTGAGCGTTCAGCGACGTGAGGAGCGGGCCGTAAACACTCACAGCGATCGCGAGAAGCGTCGGGTCGACCTCGGCGAAATGGTGCTCGATTCGGTATCGCTTGAGCAGTTTGGAGACGAGGCAGAGACTCCAGTAGGCAAACCAAACCTAGTCAGGGATAGATGCCTTCGTGCACGAGCGGGCGTACTACCGTGCGGGAGAGGTAGGTGCCGCTGAGCAGCTTGATGTAGAGATCCGCGGACTGCATTTGTTGAATGACGGCCATGGCGAGGTTGGTGACACTGAGCCACACGTCCATGTAAAAGGCGGATGCGATCCATGGGTCGAGCAGTACGATGGCTGTCGGGTCACCCGCGAGTACTTCATAGGACCAAACGCCCGGCTTGTGGCGGTGGCCGCACCGACGCACCGCGTCTTCGAGCGCGAGAACGTGCACAAAATACCGATGCCAGAGGCGATGCCACACCAGCAAGGTCGTCGCGAGCCGGTAGAAAAGCTTGATCCAGGCCCACGAGACCCACGGCTGCGGCACGGTGGCGTATATCAACGTCACGACATGCGCGTCACTGGTGTTGCGAATGGCGTCTCCAGGCGTGAGCCAGAGGCAGCTGCGGCCATACGGGATACCGCAGATCACGTCCATTGTGCACGCGCCGGTCCAGTCGCGTACCATGGACGTATTGGCCGCTGCGAGAGTATTGCACACGAGCTGTAGTTGTTTTCGGCGGTAAAAATGAGTCCCGGCAGCCCCAAGAGATGCGTGGAGGTGCACATGTCCAGCGTGAGGTTCGCCTCCCGAGTGAGACGCAGCGTCTGCCGTCCGATCTGAGCGAGCGTGCTGTCGTCAACTACGTACGTCGCTCCCATCGGCAGCGTGCGATTGTTGTAGAGACCTTGGAGCAGACGTGTTAAATTGGCGTCCGAGTAGTCGCTCAAGGTGGACCGGAGGCGAGGTGACCATGGAAACGACTCGGAAATGTACGCAGAGAGCGGCTATGTCAAGATTTGAGCGATGCGCCGAGACGACGGCCTCTTACTGTGGACGAGATGTTGATGAGCGACGCAAAGCTGACGAACCACGCAACACGGTTGCGCCTCACGCGAAAGGTGCCGGCGTCGGCGACCTTGGCCATGCCCAGCGTTGAGAGGCCAGACACTCGAAATAGGCGTCCAGTAGTCTTGCGCGCGCCGCACGAGCGTTACTCGTTCATAGACAATATTCAACACAACGAACGAACCTTTCCGGCGACGACGACACTTGGCCCCGACGACACAAACGATCAAGTTGGACACCACGACACGTGGCACGACACTGCATCCCGAAACAGATGCTGCGCGCTTCAGATGGCGTCAGACGAGCGGTCACTGCACGTCATCAAGAGCGTCTCGACCTGTAGACGACGATTGTGGATCGAGGTAGAGCGGTCGATTGTGGCGCTCCGAATGTTGTCACCCCAAGCCTACATTCCATGTACTAGAGCTGGACGACGGTGGCTCGGTCTCGTGCACAACGGCAGTTTGAATAGTGGCAATCAAATCACCAGCATCAAGGTCGCGCGAACCTCTACCTCTACAAGCACCAGCGTCTCGTTTGGTCCAAGCTCGAGTGGGCTTCGTTCTCGCGTTGGTGCCATTTTCCACGGGGTTCAATTCCTTCCCTTAGGGGATGTAGACGAGGCAGTCGATAGGCCCCGAACCAATCGCACATGGACCCGTCGCGCTTTAATCGTATACCGTGGTGCGCGCGGGCGACCAGGCACGAGGCGTTTGCGCGCCAAACGCTCGGCGCCGTTCGGACGATTCGAATCCGGTATCTTTCCGGATAATCACGAGGGAACGCATCGGATTGGCCCACACGCAGACCTTTCACAATGGATATTGATACTTTATGCATACTCGAAGCTTGCGTTTACGTCTCGATATTACTGTGAAACATGATAGCCTCTGAGATCGGATCCAAGTCGACAGCCCCAAAAAGCACCAATCAAAACGAACCCGCCACAATTCAATTTCCCGTTTCAAGGCAGATGGAAGCGCTCGCGGACCATGCGCTCTTTGGGTACACGGTCCATGACATGCTCCTCAAGGAGTCGATCCACACGGTGCATGAGCTGCTCGAGGTAGACGAGATCGCATGATGGCTATGGCTCATCGATGCCTCCTAGTCGGCCGGCCACGAGCCCGACTTTGTCGAGATCCTCTCGGATGCACTCGACGACGTCGAGGAGAACATCCGGGCAGCGCCGTCGTCGCTCAACGAGTACGGCTACCTCCTCGCGAGCGTGGCCAACCTCCGTGACGAGGTCGAGTTCAGCCTCGGCGCCGCCGAGCCCGTCAAGGCCAAGGCCGACCTGGCGACGTTTGAATTTTCACAGGCCATCCAGTGGCGCGCCGACCTCCCGGCAACCGACGGCCACGCCGCCCTCGGGACGATTCCTGCAGCAGCGCCGCCCAGCGCGCCGTCCGAAGTTCGCTGTGACGTCTGCGCGGGCGACGTCTCGTTCGCCGACGACCGGATCGTCATCTGCGACGAGTGCGACGTACGTACTCCTACTCGTATGATGCTGTCAACGATACCATCTGGCCTAGGTCGCAGTGCACGAGTCGTGCTACGACATCAAGCGCGTGCCCGACTCGGCGTGGTACTGCCACTTTTGCGCCTCGAACCGCATCTCGTGCGAGAGCGACCTCGCAGCTTGCGCCGCCTGCAACCACCTCGGCGGCGCGCTCGTCCCGACGCTCAACGGCAAGTGGGTGCACATGGCGTGCACGCAGTACCTTCCGGAACTCTACTTTATCCACGACAAAGTCGAGGGCATCGAGCTCCTCAAGCCGCGGCGCAAGCTCAAATGCTCCATCTGCAAGAAGGCCGACAACGCAGCGTGCGTGCAGTGCTGCGCCGGCAAGTGCCCGACAGCCTACCACGTCATGTGCGCGCTTCGGTCCGGCGTCGCCTTTACGCGCCAAGAGGATGCGTACGTGAGCTACTGCAAGGTCCATGCGAAGAGTGGGGGCAACTTGCCCATTGCGCGCCACGACGCACCGGCCAAGCGCTCGGCAACATCAGCATCTTCGACGGCACGCCTCCTCGCACTACCGCCGTCGCCGCCTCTTCAACCGGCCACGGGACCGGTGTCGACACCCATCAAGCCTCCGACGCCATCCAAACCATCCATGACAACGCCCGTCAAGCCACCGACGCCGTCGAAACCACCCATGTCGACGCCGTCCAAGCCCACGCCGGTCAAGCCGTCAACGACCGAGGTGACGCCGGCCGAGGCGCCACGCAGCATCGCCATGAAGGCGCCGCGCCCCGAGTACTTTCAAACCAAGCTCACTGCGCCGGTGGCCAAGCCCAAGGCGCGCAAGAACAAGGAACTCCAGCAGCAGATCAAGGCCGTCGGCGCCAGCCTCTTCGACTGCCCCGTCTTTGTACCGATCGTGCGCTCGCACGGCGAGTACATCATGTGCCTCGTGCCAGCGCTGCCACTCGGGATTGAGTTTGACCCGGCCGCGCTCTTGCAGCAGAAGAAGTACATCGTCGAGTACCCGAGCGACCCGAGTCCCCACGGCGTGTTTACGTACGCGTACGCCCACGGCTACCTCGCCCCGTACCCCTCCCTACTATCACTACCGCTAGAGAAAACTTATAGTCTCCACTAGTGGCGACGAGCTCTGCGCGATCAACTCGATGCCGCTCGCCAACATCTCGCCGGCGCACATGAAGGACGAGATCCTCCCGCAGTGCAAGCTGCCGATCCAGTGCTGGTTCAAGAAGAAGGTGCCCTTACCCACAGACGGCCCGCGCGCAAGTGAGCCGAGCAGCGCCCTGACGCTGGATGCACCCACCTCGTCCAACGAAGAGTGGCCCTGGTGCTACCTCCGGTCGGACGGGAAGCTCGCCATGCCCCGCATTTGGTCGGTCTTTGATGAAATGTACCACGGCACGAGCGTCGACACCTCGGTCTGTCGCGATGGCAGCCAATCGCAGGCACTCAGTGTGGCAATAGGCCCTGCTCGAGTCACTGCGCAGTCCCGAGAGCCTGTATGTGATCCCACCCATTGGCTTCTCCGACGTTCCCGACGTCATCTACGAGAAGCGCAAGGAGCTGCACGCGACCAAAGCCGCGATACCCGTCGCTGCGCTATCGCCGCTCGACGTCGGCACGATGGTCAAGGTCGCCAAGCGCACGTGGCCGGGCATCAACAAGCTCGGCGGCACGGGGCGCGTCAAGGCCCGACGACCCGGTACGTTCGCATTGTCTGGACGGTCGTTGATGCTCATGGCGCGTCTCTAGTCGGCGACGGGTTCACCTACGACGTGGTGTACGTGCTCGGCGGACGCGACAACCACATCGAGCGGCAGTACGTGACGCCGGTGACGATGGACGACCCGGTCGGCGCGACGCCGTCGGACGCCAAAGACGCGACGCACGACGAGGCGTGGACGCTCAAGGCCTCTCTCGTCACCAAGGGCCCGATGCCCGGCATGGAGCCCGGCGCGACGTCGTTCCAAGTCACCTTTCGGGTCGAGCACGAGAGCGACGCGATCGCCGAAACCTCGAAAGCAACGATACATGCCCTGCCGGAAGGGCTCTCGCTGCGCCTTGATGCGGTTACCGATGTGCTGGAAGAAGGCGTGCCGGACGAGCTCGGTCCGCAGCTCCAGGCGCTGCACGAACAGCTGCGGGCGGTCGATGCGTCGACAAAAGCGACCTTTGAGAAGCTCTCGTCGCTCCTCGACCAGGAGAAGAAGCGCGCGTACTTTACGGCCATGGAAGGTAACACGCCTACAGCGGAGTACGATTCAAACATCAACACGTAGCGCTCACCAACCGGCAGTACGAAGAGATGTACGAGAAGATGATGGCGCTCCACGAAGAGCACTATGGACCTGTCAACCCGCCGCCGACCCCGGTACCTTGACTTCTTGTCGCAAAAGCCGACAAAGCTCTTGTAGAAGGCAGCCAAGAGCGTCGCGCTCGTGCCAACGACAGGCCAGGTGCCGGTACCAGCGCTCGACCACGCATCTGCCATCGACCCAGATGAGGAAGACGACGACGACGACGAAGACGTGGATCTGCCGCTCTTCATCACGGGCAAGCAAGAAGAGAGTTCGGCGACGTGCGTTCTGTGCCTCATCCCCGGCGGCGACCTCGCAGCCACGTCGTGCGGCCAAGTCGCGCACATCATGTGCCTCCTCTACACGCCCGAGACGTACTTTGACGAGCACCTCGGGTACGGCATCGCCAACGTCCCGGCCGAGCGCTTAAGCCTCGTGTGCGACATTTGCCGCAAGAAGGTCGGCGTCAACAAACTGCAGTGCGCGAGCAAGAAGTGCACCAAGTCGTACCACGTCCAGGTACGACATTCGAGTCCTTTTGGTGTAGTCCATATGAGCTCAAGGACCGTACTAGTGCGCCTACGTGCGCGGTCTCCTGACGACATATCCGTCGTTTGCAGGGTGGTGCCCCAAGCATCTGGCCAAGGCCGACCCACAGACACAAGCGTCGATCGACTGGCCGCCGCACATCAAGAAGCAGCTCATCAAGGAAGGCAAGCTCTTGGAAGACAACGACGAGAGTCTGCTTCTGCCGCCGCTGCCTGACGCCACTGCGGTCCCACCCACAAGCGCACGACGCCGCTCAAGCAGCAGAAAAACCAGCTCGGAAGCGCAAGTCGGAGATCGCGCCGTCGCCCAAACCGTCGCCGCCTGTCAGCGACAACGAGGAAGCGCCGACGCCAAGCGTGGCCTTTCGTGTGGGTGACACGGTGCGCGTCACGGAGCGGACGTGGAAGGGCATCAACAAGCCCGGCGGCGTCGCGCGCATCAAGAAGAAGCACGAAATCTCGGCCAGCGCCGTCACCTACGACGTCGAGTACATTCTGGGCGGCGCCGAGAAGGCAGTGGAAGCCATGTACATTGCGCCGCACGTGGCCGATGTGAGCGGCAAGAAACGCCGACGCACAACCAACGCCACGTACGAGTTTGACTAGAGATGGATACCTCATTAGTACACTATAATATATCGCCACCAAGATCATCCTCACGGCGTGACGCGCTGCAGCGTCGGCTGGATGCTCGTCCAGAGCTCGTCGTCGTCGTCCTCTGTCTTGGACGGCGATCGCAAGAGACTCGAGGTCGCTGCCTCGCTGCGCACATTCTCATGCTCGTCCAATGCAAGTCGATGCGGGCCGTAGCAGTACGGGCCACCTAGGTGTACTAAAATAAGAAGGACCCAGCGACTAGATGTCGCCCCTACCAGCGTGGGGTTTGTGGCCGCAGAAACAGTACGTGCACAGATCGACGTTGAGACTCCAGTGGGAGCGCACGGCGTACGTCTGGATGCAGGCCGTGCAGACGACCTAGAAGTGATGGTTGCATTGGGCGATTTCGTAGGTCGTTGGTTATAATACCTGGCGACACTTGTAGCAGTGGCGCTTGGAGCTAAAGACGCCGAATTTCTCGGCGCAGGCTTCGCAGGCGGAGATGTCATTGTCGGATTTGAACCCGCGCCGAGGCTCTTTGGCAATCGCTGCCAGAAGCGCCGGGAGCCGCGTGAGCGCAAAGTGGTGCTCGACGTTGAGCATCTACGCTCGTGTTTGAGATTTCACTTTTGAGAAAGTGAAAAAAAACGGACCTGGCTCACAATTTTTTGGAAAATGCGCAGCGAGACAAACTTGGGCACGCTGCCCGGGTCGGCGACGATGTACGTGTAGTAGTAGTCGAACTCGCCGTCTTGCGCTTCGAGAAACAAGTGGCCCGACTACGACGCTCACGTCAACTCTAAGAACTCTTGCGCGGAGGCTGCCACGTACCCGGATCAGCGCGCCTCGCACAATGTTGTGCGACTTGCGCAGCGACGGGCAGCAGTCCATCGCCACCGAGTGGGCGGCGCGGACGAGCCCCGCCGGCGCTCACCCGTCGCGGGGTCTGTCACCTCGATGCGCTGGAGCACCTACAGTATTAACGCCTTTGAGCGAGGACGCGGAACGAAGTCGACCTCGAGGAAGCACGAGTCGCGCTTGAGCGTGAGCGCGGACGACAAGAACGGGCTCTCGATCGCGGCCCACTGGACGCTGGCGGCAATCACGCTCGAGTCGCGCGGTGGCAATTGGTACAAAGTCAGGCGGTCGAGGACGGCTTGGCCCACGACGTCGCCGTAGGTGCGGACCTTCTCCGGGGTCGTCAGAAGAAAGAAGGCGACGAGCTCGTCGATGGTCGTTCGCAGGCGCGAGACGCCCGTGAGCCCATACATGTCCGGGTCGACGAGATCGGTGCCAAAATGCAGCTAGCCATCATCATTGCCATACAGTAGATTTAGTACTGGGATCGAGGCGTGTACCGTCGCCCGGCGCTTGGTAGCTTCGTGGATAACCTCTTTTGATGGCGGTCGCTGGGCCATCGTGAGCGCATTGAGCGCCGTGTTGTGGCACACGGCGGCGGCGAGGTCGAGGAGCGCGTCCTGCTCGCTTCGCGGCAGCGGGCGGCAGTCGAAAAAGTCGCGCGGAAGTGGGAGGCTCATTCAAAATTGCAAACTGATAGTGCTTGCGGGTTTGCAGCGACAACAGAAATCATGGGGAGAAGATCCATCATATGAACTTGGAATTCGCGAACTTGACAATCGTTTACAGCGTATATGCGAGTGGATGTGCGCGCGCTGGGGATGCAAAACATGTGATTGGCGGATGGTATCTGAGCGGCCATCTCCACGCGGTGACTCGCGCAGCGGTGTCGAGTTACTCACTCTCTACCGCATTGAACGATTGGATCGCATCCGAGTAGATGTACTATGTACAAGCTTATATTCTGTCGAGTTAGTCAACATTAACATTTCGGCAGTCACCAACGCGGCTGCAGCGTAATACTTGGCTCAATGCTAGTCAACGGTATGGATATTTTGTGTCCCATCACCTGGTTTGACTCGTCCATTAACCCTTCAACATGCACTGGTAACTTGTTAATGAATTGCTTACCCTAGCAGGTCAGTACTCAGTCCACGAAGGCAAGGTCGTCATCTAATACTTGGATGCACGAGGTCAGACTCGTTGACGACGGGCGTATCAGCCGGTACTTCGCAATCAATATCTCCTGCTTATTTGTGCGAAAAGTGAACCGCTAGTTGCTGCACGCTCGCTTGAGCTCGTGATCGTTACATCTCTGAACCCTCGGTGTTGCATAACCCCGTTAAAGTGTCCAATGCTATGTTGGAGCGAACTGACATTACAAGCACAGTGCCTTGCGTATGAGTAGCAAAGCTCTGTGGTAATGTTTGGTTGGTGGGTTGATATGAGTTAGCGGCGTTGGGGGTGGGGGTGGCGCACGCGCACACCCCCGCTGGCAAAAATTGCGCTGTGGAGGAACCCGAAGGCACTCCTAGACCATTACAGCACCGGAGTGCATGAAGGCCTGCTCCGGCCCAAGTCAACCCCCGAGTTGATCAGGGTCGAGCTCCAGCCAGGTAAGTATGATCTTTCATATGAATCTCCTCAACGATTGCTAGAAACGGGATTAGAGCCCATGTGGTCGCCACGTACAAATGGACGACCGTTTCGACATGTCGCATTACTTTCGACAGACTTATCGACTTTCTGCTGGTTCACAAATCTAAAGACACAACTCAAAACACACTACATCGAGCGAACGTCGGGGTCGTGTTAGCTGCAGAGCTTATCCCAAGTGCAGTACAATTTACCACCACCCGCAACCGTACGGGCCGCAGCGCCAGGTAGGACCCCAGCGAGGACCCCAGGTAGGACCCCAGCGAGGACCCCAGCCACCATGGCCCCAGCGACCATGGCCCCAGCGACCATGACCCCAGCGACCATGGCCCCAGCCACCACGCCATTCCTGGTCAGCGTGTTCCGTCGGCACGTCCGGCGCTGTCGTCTCCTTCATCACGGGCGAATCCGGTGCTGTGGGGCCGGAAGGATCAGGGTTCGCCGCAGCGACAGCGAGCGCGCCGAGCATCGTGATCAAGCAAGTCGTCTTCATGAGCGCAGGAGGTCGGTAAATCCAATGTAAGGATCCAAGGACGGTTAGATTGGGCATTATGGAAACGCCCAGGAATGGCGCCAAGGTAGTCGCTATGCTTCAACTGGAAATGGCCGGAAAGGTCTTACCAACCACTTCACACGATACTCGAGTGCGTCAAACAAACGCTTGCTAGTCCGAGCAACCAACATCGACCAAGAAATTGAAGATTGCGACTACCTTGGCGCCTTCCCTGGGGGTTTCCTGGATGCCCAGACAATGCTCATGGCAGTTTTGCTGATGATTTTTTAATGATGGAATGGTAATGTCTGTTCTTGAGTCTATCGTGTCCGGGGTGCAGCTCTTGCGACTGTGTTTGTGGAGCCACACATAAACTACAATTGTAGTGCAAGCATCACGAACCTACTCCTTCTGGTCGACAAATTATGACTTGCCGAGGAAAACCGTTCAGATATTTTATCGTTTCGGATGTTCCACTTCTAAAATCGACGTCGCAAAATTTCTGTACCTTTGCAGGCACCACAGTCAAATCTACCATGTCCCCAACGACCTCTTCGAGCCCGAGAGCGAATGATTCCCCGGAGACGTCCAAGCGCCGCTACAAGGTGGCCAGTCGTTACCTAGCCGAAGGGCGTACCCACAAGCAGTCGTGGTTCCTCGCTTTCCGAGAAGTGCCTCGTGCGCAAATCGGCACCTCCACGCCCCCAACATCCCAGCCCAGCATCGTCGTGTCTCAGTGCTCTCAAGCGAGCAACTACTACAGCGCCGGAGCCACCTCGTGGACGAGTGGTGTCGTGAGCTCGCGCCTCGTGTGCCAAGTTTGCAACTATCTCAATAGCATGGCGGATGTGCGCTGCGAGCACTGCAGGACGGACTTGCCGGGGGCGGCCACGAAGCTCAAAATTTTGCTCAAGCGCGTGCAGGTGGTGCAGTCCAAGGGCGCGGCGATCGACGCCACCGTGGTGTGCCAGGTCTGCGAGACGCTGAACGTCATGGCGGACGCTGTGTGCAGGGACCCCGACTGCAACGAATCACTTCCGAACGACGCCGAGAAGCTCCGCATCGTCGTTCGCCGCATCGAACTTGTCAAGCACGCACCACAGTCCGCCTGATTCCGTTTCACGATGAGTTCGAGCAGACATTGTTTACACGTACAATAGTATTACTTATTCTCCTCTCTATTCGCAGCCAAGACGAGAAGAGCGTCGTAGACAATAAAGCAGTATTGCAGCATCCAGCATATGGTCATTGCCAATCGTTGACCGTGTTGAGCGGCCGACGTCTCCTTTCATCGACCACCTCGACGAATAAGTTGAGGCGTTGTGACTACCTTGGCGCCATTCCTGGGCGTTTCCATAATGCCCAAACACTGCCGTCTTTGGATCCTCACATTGGATTTGCCGACCTCCTGCGCTCATGAAGACGACTTGCTTGATCACGATGCTCGGCGCGCTCGCTGTCGCTGCGGCGAACCCTGATCCTTCCGGCCCCACAGCACCGGATTCGCCCGTGATGAAGGAGACGACAGCGCCGGACGTGCCGACGGAACACGCTGACCAGGAATGGCGCGGTGGCTGGGGCCATGGTGGCTGGGGTCCTCGCTGGGGTCCTACCTGGCGCTGCGGCCCATACGGTTGCGGGTGGTGGTAAATTGTACTGCACTTAGGATAAGCTCGGCAGCTAACACGACCCCGACGTTCGCTCGATGTAGTGTGTTTGGAGTTGTGTTTTCAGATTTGTGAACCAGTAGAAAGTCGATAAGTCTGTCGAAAGTAATGCGACATGTCGAAACGGTCGTCCATTTGTACGTGGCGACCACAGGGCTCCAATCCCGTTTCCAGCAATCGTTGAGGAGATTCATATGAAAGATCATACTTACCTGGCTGGAGCTCGACCCTGATCAACTCGGGGGTTGACTTGGGCCGGAGCAGGCCTTCATGCACTCCGGTGCTGTAATGGTCTAGGAGTGCCTTCGGGTTCCTCCACAGCGCAATTTTTGCCAGCGGGGGTGTGCGCGTGCGCCACCCCACCCCAACGCCGCTAACTCATATCAACCCACCAATAAAACATTACCACAGAGCTTTGCTGCGATGCGTTGGAGCAAGACGTAGCTTGCAATAGAATATCCCTGTGTTGATAAACTGATAGAAAACGACGCTCTCTACTTCTTCTTGTTGGTGACGTTGAACTGGAAGTGGATGATGTCACCGTCCTGGACCACGTACGTCTTGCCTTCCTGGCGGTACTTGCCGGCGGCCTTGACCTTGGCCATGCCGCGCTTGTCGCCTTCCGAGAGCTCCTTGAAGTCGTCAAACGCGACGACCTCGGCCTTGATGAATCCGCGCTCAAAGTCCGAGTGGATCACACCGGCGGCCTGGGGCGCGAGGGCACCCTTGCGCACGGTCCAGCACCGCACCTCCTTCTCGCCGGCCGTGAAGTAGTACATGAGGTTGAGCTGCTTGTAGCCGACCTTGATGATGCGCGGCAGCACGGACGGGGCAGCGTCTGCGACCGGGTTGGCGCGGTTGGCCCAGAGCTCCTGCTCGTACTCGATCGAGAACGGGATCATGACGCCGCCGCCGTGCGTGTCGATCCACTGCTTGATGGGCACGAGCCACTTGTTGCCCTTGCGGAGGAAATCGCGCTTGCTCATGTTGACGCAGTAGATGATGGGCTTGGTCGTGATGCAGGCTAGTGTTTTTCAATCGATAAGACCTTCTGCCAACAATGGTGCGGTACCGTACCCGGGATGAGCTCGTTGATCTTCTCGACCTCCGGCGCCGTCCAGCCAGCCTTGGAGGCGATGCCAACGTTGTTCTCGAGCATTTCTTGGACCTCGTCCATGACCGAGAAGAAGAGTGGCGGCAGCTTCATCGTCGGGTTTTTGCGCACGTCGGCCTCACGCGCCTTGCGCTGGCCAAGCACGTACGCCAAGTCCTTCTTGCAGAGCTCGCCCTGGATCGTCTCGAGATCGCGGATCGGGTCAACCTATCCCATCGGCATGAGCGCTCGCAGGACGAGCAGGCATACCGAGTCGTCGACGTGCACGACTTCGTCGCTCTCAAAGGCGCGGACGATGTGGAAGATGCCATCGACGGCCTGGATGTGCGAGAGGAAGGCGTTGCCGAGGCCGGCGCCTTCGCTGGCGCCGCGGATGAGGCCGGCAATGTCCGTGCACTGGAGGTACGCAGGGTACTCGCTCGGCGGCTGCCACACCTTGCAGAGCCACTCGTAGCGCTCGTCGGGCACGGCGCAGCGCGCCTCGTTCGGGTCGATCGTGCAGAACGGAAAGTTCTCGGCAGCCACCGCCTGCGCCGTGAGGAGGTTGAAGAGCGAGGACTTGCCCACGTTGGGGAGGCCGACGAGGCCCATCTTGAGCGAGTTGCCGGCGCGGCCGAAGCGGGCGGCGGAGGGTTCAGCTTCAACGGCCTTCTTCGGGGGCATGGTCAATATCGAGTTTTGTGTTCCTGCAAGCCAATGATACGCGCGTATACAAATCCCAAGGTCGTCCGCGGCCGGGGCATAGAACCGCCACATGACGTGGCAGCACAGATGATGACCAGAGACACGGCTGGTGCCATTTGATTGGCTGACGCCGGCAACGGAAAGACGGTCAAGGACGTCGCCGATCGACCGCGCAGTATGCACAGCCAGTCTGTGCCCGCCGCTTGTGCATAACAAACCTGGCTCAAGTCCATGTCTTGCAAGGATTGGTCTACGTTGACAGGCCACATACTAGTTCGTTGGCCGACTGAAGCTGCTGCTCTCTCGTGGCCACCTGTATCTCGCCCTCTTCCTCGACGTCTCGATGATGCCTCCTACCCTTCATCTAACATGAGTTTGCATCCTCGCCGTACTAGTCATGGTGGGTGCTGCCAGTCATCATAGGTCGCTGCGTGGTTCGGCCACGACCGGTCGTTTAGGGAGCCGCCGTTGACGATGCGGGAATTTTTAGACGCCACTAAAACGGTGCCTGCGGTTATTATGGGTCGCTGTAGGTGTGCACTTGTGCTAGCAGCACCGCGCCGGCGCAGCAGGTCATCGTACTCGCGTCTGCTTCTCCCCGAGGGCTTCTCCCTCGAGCTCCTTGGAGGTCGTCGCCAGCCTTCTCTGCGTCGGCTTTTCCAGCTGCATACTCAGTCCAAGTGCGCGCGGGCCAGCTGGCGCGAGGGCCGTGTCGCAGCGTCATTCAATGCAAACAATCAAACCTGCGTGACGTTTAATTATGTTTACCTGTTGTTTGTATGTATTTTTAATACTACAAAGAAAAGCCAGTGAATTGTTTCGAAACGTCGTGGGCGATCCCGAATAAAATTACTCACTATTTTTATCCTTCTTTTTCTCAACGGTATACTTGAAGTGAGTAACGCGAATAGATTGCGAATAAAAAAGAAAGATTTAGCCGCAAAAGGCCAGTTGCCCTTTAAGATGACGCACCTTCAGCCCCGCAAAGACCACCTCATCGGGCGCCCGCTGGTTCCGTTCTTCACCGAGGAGGGCCATGTGAACGCGTCGCTGCAGCTCTCATCGTACGCGCCGTCACCTCCTGCGTCGAGCGGTGCCTCATATGCCCCTGTAGCGCGGCGACGCATGAGGCCATGGACGTTGACGCCCGCGTCTGGAACGCCGAGCAAGGCTACTTTGAATACCCCGAACCAGCATGTACAGAGACGTCGAAGCGCACGCTGCTACTGACACCACAGCGCCTCGTACGCCCTTTGCGCCAGCGTCGCTAGCGGCTAACGGCGTCATCTGACTAGGAGGAGGAGCACAGCAGGTCGCGCGGCAAGACACACCCGACACCGAGCACAGAGAAACCGCGGTCCCCGCCGCGCGCAGGCTCGAACTCGAAGAAGCAACGCAGCAAAAAGCCAACGGCCGCCGTCGAGCCCCACATGCCCCCAAAACCGACGCAGCCCAAGCAACGGTCCCCGTCCAGCACAACCAGCAACAGCACCACCTCCAACACAAGCACGGGTCAGAAGAAGAAGACGACGCAGGCCCCGGCCAAGTGGGCGTGGTCGGCCTTCCAGTCATCACCCGACCCGAAGACGCTGCCGATGCCGCCGTTCCTGTCGCCGCAGCCGGTCGTCACGGAGAAGCCGTCACCACCGCCGCCGCCGGCTCCGTCGATCCAGATTTTACAGCGACCAAAGACGACAGCCACCAAGCCCGAAGACGCCATGACGCAGCAGCTGCGCAAAATGCTCAACATGGAGCCGTAAGCGGGTCGACGAGCCTTTTTTCCCTCGGAGACCATTGAGCGCAACCGCGTTGAATTAATGATCCGGGGTTTTTGGTTCCATTCCCGTCTTTCATTGCGCATCTTGCATAATTTAACAACTCACGTGATACCAGTGCGGATAGCAGGTACGTAGGGATACGAGCACATGCCGCGTCGCCTGGTACGCCTGCCAAGACCGTCCGCGAGAGGCAGGGGCACCCCTGGCTAGAAGCAGCAAGAAGGTGTGACCCCCTGCCGATCACCACATCTTGAAAGAGACTATGCCCGGAACGCGCCGTCTTGCAGCATAGCCTTCTAGCACAGCCTTGTGGGAGCTGGCATCGGCATTTTCTTATTAGGTAGCAGCTCAACCCGACAAATTAAGATACGACTTTGAGACCCGATGACCTGTATCATTACATGTATACAAAATCATCAAAACCATAAAATAATAAACATTTAACCCTCCATATTGTATACCGCGTAATAATGGATATTTTGGTACTTGAAGTGGCCACGGACCAGAACCTCGTCTCCGCGGCTGGCAGCGTCCTATACCTTGCCGCACACTGCTACATCATTGTACCCCTCATTCTTCAATTTAATCTATGAAAACGCCACCTTCCTCACGACAAGCGTCGCCCTTGCTGCTGTCGCAAGTGCGACTACCATCTGCAGTGCGGTACCGCCGTTCAACTACCTCTCGGCGTCGACGGCGCACCCACAGCTCGCGCCGGCCCTCGACGTTCTCAAGCAGCAGCCCATCGCGACGTGGTACACGGACCAGTACGCCAGCGACATCTCGGGTCTCATGGCCAAGTGCCAGGGTGCGACGCCGGCCATCGTCGTCTATGGCCTGCCGCAGAAGGACTGCGCCCACGGATACTCGTCGGCGGGTGGCAACGCCAACACGGCCGACTACGCCAAGTGGATTCAAGGGCTCATGAACCAAGTCGGGTCCAACCGCGACGTCATCTACATCCTCGAGCCGGACGCCTTGGGGCTCCTCGCCAACCACCCGTGCGCGACGCAGCACAACTACAAGGCCAACCTCCGCATCGCCATCGAGATGCTCGCGTCCAATCCGAAAGCCAAGATCTACGCTGACGTGGCGGCCTGGGGCGACGTTCCCAAGACGACAGCGCTTTTGAACGAGCTCAAGGCCGCGGGCCGCCTCTCCGGCATCGCCATCAACACGTCCAACTACGTCTCCAACGACAAACTCGTTTCCACGTGTGAGACATACTCGGCCGCGACGCAAGGCCTCCACTGCATCTTTGACACGTCACGCAACTTTAACGGATCGCCGTCCAGCGAGTGGTGCAACGCCAAGTCGGCGGGTGTTGGTGCGCCGCCGACCGCCGACACGGGCTACCCCCTCGTCGACTACTTTCTCTGGCTCAAGGTGCCGGGCGAGAGCGACGGCCAGTGCAACGACGCGGGTCGCACGAGCGACGCGGCCGCTGGGCCAGGTGCTGGCCAGTTCTTTCCCGATGGACTGGAGCGCCTTTGGAACCAAGGCCATTTCGTTCAGAAACAAGGAATGCCCAAGATCGGCGGCGTGTGGCCGCAGTCAACGACGGCCTCTCCGACGCCTTTGGTGACACCTGCGCCAACGCCTTTGGTGACGCCAGCGGTGACGCACGCGCCGACTGCAGCGGTAACAAACGCGCCGACTGCAGCGGTAACGACCGCGCCGGCATCGCCGACGACGACGCCTACGGTCACGACAACGACGCCGTCGGCAACTACAGCGTCACCGACGACTGGCCCAACGACAACTGCCCCAGCGACGCATACGACGGAGACGCCGGTGTCGACGTCCTACGACGTTCCTTTGGTGGATCACAGCACCGCGGGCTCTGTAGCGCACGGTGGCGACATTCTTGACACGCCGACGCCGCCCACGTACGACTCAAAGCCGTCGACATCGCAGACGTACACAGCAAGCACAGGCACGCACGACAATGGCACGGACTCGACCACGATTGCGCTCTCGTCTTTGGTCGGCGTCGGTGCCGTCGCGGCCGTGGCCGTGGCTGCCATTGCTCTTCGCAAGCGCATCACCGAGGACAAAGCCGCCTTGGAGCTCGAGCGCGACGCAAGCGGCATTGTCATTTTGACCACCGATCGCGCGCAGACGAGCATTCTCTAAACTAATCATTTATACTCGTATATATTCGTACAAATTCGCCATCTACTCTTTGCGAATCTCAAAAGTATCGACGGCGAGGCCCGATCCAGCGTCGATAAAGCTCCACGAGAGCACGCTGCGGTTGGCTTTGAGCAGCGACACGCCGTAGTGCACGTTGTCGTACATGACGTTCCACGTCTGCGCCGCGACGCCGTCGTAGGGCTCGTGGCCGCCGGCGCTGCCGCACGCTCCCGACACCATGTAGACGGGGGCACCCGGGTTGAGGTAAACACTGCGGTCGTCGCTGACGCCGTCAAGGACGGGCGACCGATTGGCGATCGGGAGGTGCCGTTCGTACGCATGCTGATGGCCCGAGACGACCATGTCAACTTGATACTTGAGGAAGAGCGGCTCAAAGGCTGCGAGGATCGCCTCCTGCTTCTTTTTCGGGTGCCCCGTGGGTTTAAAGACCTTGAGGCCGTAAATGGGTCGGTGCGACCCGACGAGGATCCACGGACGCTCGTGGCGCATGGCCACCGCGGCCTTCAAGTCGGCTTCGAGCCACGCGAGCTGGTCGCCGAAGTGGCCATTGGCGACCTTCGTGCCCTTGTTGTTGCTCGGCGCGCCCTCAAAGTCCGACTCGGAGCTAATGCTAATGAAATGCACCGGCCCGTGGTTCCACGAGTACCACATGTTGTGCGTGCCTAGCGCGGATCGATCGCTTGAGATGCAAGGATAAGACGCTACCGTTCGACTCGGCTGACGGCATGCGGAAGCGCGTGTTGAAGGCCGAAAAGTTGCTCAGCTGCGCCTGCTTGGCCTCCGAGTAGACGCACGCCGGCGAGTAGCACTCGGCTTCGTGGTTCCCGACCGTCGTCATGTATGGCACCTAGCACGCATGTGTCGAACGGAGAGTCATCGTTCGGATCGTACGTGGTGCATCGTCGGCTCGAGCGAGTTCATCCACGCATTGTAGGCCTTCTCGTACACGAATCCGAGAGCGTTCGTGTCCTTGTCGAGGGCCTGGAATGCGTTGTCGGCGTAGCTGAGGTCGCCGACGTGCCAGATGAAGTCCAGTCGATCGGCGAGCGCCGAGACCAGCGACACGGTCCCCTCGGCGTTGTGCTCGCCGAAGTCCGCGTACATGAGCATCTCAAACGAATGGTTGTCGCTGCTCGGGCGCGCGGTCCGAAAATGGTAGACCGACGACCGACGCGTCACTAAAGAACGATATCTTGAACAGTCGAGCTCCGCGAGCTACCGTACCGTTGTGAAGCGAGCCGACTTGGTAGTAATAGCGCGTCTTGGGCAGAAGGTGGGGCAGCGTGACGTGGTACGTGTACAGCGTGTAGTGCTCGTCGGCGTAGTACGACGCGACCGAGGCCATGTGTGCTGTGAGCCGCGACGTGTTGCGAAATGGATGGTCAGCGAACCACACCGCGCTGTCATTGATGCGGTGGTACGTGGTCCACGAGACCGTCATGGCCGTCCCAGGCTCGACGCCCGCGTACGCCAAGTGCAGCTGCTGCGGGCGCACGTGGAGCTCGACCATGGCCTGCGACTCGGGCCCTTCCTGCATGGACGCCGCCGCCGAGGTCGGCGTCGCTGGCACGGCGATGTAGTGGAAGAGCAGCAAGCCCGAGAGGAGTGCGAGGAGCAGCACGGCCAGCGCGAGCGCTCGGCGGCGCACGGGCGTCACGGCCGGCGTCGGTGGGCGCTCGATGGCTCCGTACATCGTTTCGGCGACTGAAACCTCCAAGCTGCCAAATGCAGCAGATTCGGTACTATACTTTAACCAAGTGCTTCAAATCCGAAGAGAGGCTTGGCGGTGCGAAAGGTGAACAACTGGCATTCGGTGAGAAATGATTTTCACGTGTGGAACCGGACGTTAGTTAGTCGATGCAAAACTTTCGTTGCAACGCGGGGAGTCGAAGATACCAGAGACGAGCGGGCTACCCGAGCATGCGCTGACAGTTTGATAGTGCAGGACTGCTGCATTTCGGCCGACGCATCTGCGTGACGAGTCACCTAGTATGGCACAGCAGCTCTTCGTTGACATAAGCTTGGCTGCGATGCCCCTGGACTAAGACAGCGATCGAGCTTAGTGATGGCATGCCCCGTGTTCCGAGACACAGGTGCTTCCACGGGCAAAGAGCTCTGCTTAGTGCTTTGCAGCGACGCGACGCGGAAGCGTGAGGTGCTACAGAGTCAATGCAGTGACACTCTACATGGGCTACTGCACTCGAGCATTGCGTCTGCTGGTCGTCCGACGCTATCCGCAGTGACAATGCTAGACACGTGCAAGCGTCCGAGGCCACAAGCTCTACTGGGTTCTGTGGCTCGCCCACGCTGTCGGCGCGAAAGGATGCGCCTAGCGAAGGTGGTCGGAGCATGCACCGGCGGCGGGCCGCCCAACCCCAGGATCCACAACGTCAGCTTGCTTCGCGGCGCGCGGCAGCGAGGACCAGCTACATGAACACACCTCTCTGTATAAACGCGTTACGGGCGCGGACCTTAGAGCTCGCGCTCGCCGAGGATGTCGGTGATCGCGATGAAGGCCGAGAGCGAGTTGGCCGGGTACGTGGCGTAGTCGCGCTCCGTCGAGTGCGACGGCTTGACGTACTGACGCGGGACGTCCGGGTAGCCTTCGGGGCTCGTGTACTTGCCGGCCTGGTGCGCGGTGTTGCTGCGGCGCCACACCTCCTCTTCCTGGAGGCGGTTCTTGGCGCTCGTGTGCGCCGCTTGCAGCAAGTCCTACGCGCCGCATGAGCCTCGCCATACCACGGCCATCCAGCGCCGTACATGCTCCTCGGCGGCCATGCGCTCGCGGCTGGCCATGAAGCTGTTGATCATGTTCGAGATCGGGTTGGTCATCGTCGTCCTGCCTGCCACAAGTTGTGCACTGCGTCCGAGAGCAACGTTCGTATACAAATTCCAAGTCAATTAAAAAGCCACTTCCACGGCCAGTAAACATCGCACTTAACCGAGTCGCACTTGATCGACCACCGCCACTTCATAAGCAAAACAAGAGGAGACGACGTGTTTAGACGAGAGGATGCTGGCAACGACGCTGTCGGTCGACTACATACAGCGCATACACACACAAACGCTTGGATAACGACCAGCGAGCGCTGCGTCACGGCGCCTTGGTCAGCTAGTACAGGCACATGCGATGAGCGTCCATACAAGGGCTAGGGTTGCCGCTGGTGGCAACGGCAAGCGAACCTTCTTGGCCTTGCCCGCGGCGGCTTGGGCGTTCATGAGCAGTGACGCGACTGCTGCATGTCCGTTCTCGACAGCGACGTTCAGCGGCGTCCGTCCCATCTGCATATTCAAGGTGAAAGTCGGCGCCATGGATGGACCGTCGTCGTACGTTGTCGGAGCGGTGCGGGTTGGCTTTGGCTTGCAACAACAGCGTGACAACTTCGGCATGCCCTGCCTCGGCAGCGACCCATAACGGCGTTTTGCCCTCCTACGAATAGCAAACACAGAGTGATATAAAGAGATCCGTGCATAGCGCACCTCGTTGAAGCGAACAACGTCGGCTTTTGCCTTGAGCAGCAAGAGAACCGTGTTCGCATGTCCCTTCTGCGCCGCCACAAGCAGCGGCGTCGCGCCATCCTACTCGTATTCTCCCAATGCTTGGCCATCGTTCCACGACGGTACCCTTCGGGATCGGTTCACGGTGGCTTGTGCGTTGAGAAGCAAGACAACGACGTTGCGGTGGCCGTGGGCAGCGCCAAGGAGCAGCGCCGTCGAGCCATTCTGCGCAAAGACGAGCGGTTGGTGGAGTCTGAGGGAGAGATAGTGGTGACGTACTGCACTCGCGGCATTGACGCTGGCGCCGGCGCGGAGGAGAAGGGCGACCACTGCGTCGTGGCCGTGCTGGGCGGCCGTCTGTAAGGCCGTCGCCCCATCCTACATGGAATGACTTGAGCGTTGTTGGAACATACGCGGTGACGCACGATCGTCGTCGTCGTTAGCGTCGCATCCGATGCGAGGAGGAGCGAGACCACCGCGTCATGGCCGTTCTGCGCTGCGACGAAAAGAGGGGTGGATCCGTCCTACGGCCCGTGTGACCATCGAATGCGAGACTGCGTCGCTACCTGCATGAGCTCGTCGACGTCTGCGCCAGCGTCGAGAAGCAAGGCGACAACAGCGTCGTGGCCATTCTGCGCCGCGGCGTACAAGGCGCTAAAACCATCCTACATAAGAAACCATAAGAAAGGAGCTAGCGAGCGCGGATTCGAACCGGAAGTCGCTTGGAAATGTCCGCGCCCGCACCAAGCAGCAGCGCCACGGCACCTGCGTGACCGTTCTGAGCAGCCACGTACAGAGGTGTCGCGCCCGCCTAAAAGACAACTTGTCCACAGTGCATCCCCTGCCGCAACAACGTACGTCGGTCGTCGTCTCAATTGGCGCCGACGCCTGAAGAAGGAGCCCAAGAATCGCATCGTAGCCGTACTGCGCGGCCACAAACAAGGGCGTGGCTCCGTCCTGAGGTAGAGTCACGTCATCCATGCGCTGCGTAATGAGTGAAACCTACCTTGATGGACACGGATGGGTCTGCGCGGCGCTTGACGAGCTGAGCGACGATGGCGACGTGACCTTGCTGCGTCGCGACGGCCAAGGGTGTTGCGCCGTCCTGCAGCGTCTGAGCAAGCGTCAACATCAACACGAGTGCGTACCTTGTTGGCGCAGTTGGTCGTGGCCTTGGCTTGCAGCAGCAAGAGCACGACGACGATGTGGCCTTCAAAGGCCGCAATCCACAGCGGCGTCCGACCCGCCTACGACAACGCTATATGGCGGCCGAGCGATCGCGGATGTATTACACTGTCTCTCAGTTCCAAGTCGGCGCCAGCGCTAATGAGCAGCTTGACGACAGCGTGGAAGCCGAACGCGGCTGCAATGTGCAGCGGTGACGCGCCGTCCTATACACACTGCATGTCAAAGCGGGTCCAGCACCTTCGAGTCGCACCTTGGTGCACCGCTGCACGTCAGCGTTCGCAGCGAGAAGGAGCGCGACGACCTTGTCCCAGCCGTTCTGCGCCGCCACGTACAGCGGCGTCCAGCCATTCATTTGGAGTCGTCGAGGGCGTCGAGACGACGATGCGCACCTCGTCGCACTTGTTGACGCTGGCGTCGGCCTCGATGAGGAGGCTCACGACCGCCTCGGCGCCGTGGAAGGCAGCTTTCAGCATCGGCGTCCACTCCTACGCATGGCTTGGTCCCACGCAAGGCACGCGGCCATCGCACCTGCAGCAGGACGTCGGGGTCGACGCCGTCGTTGAGGAGTTGGGTCGCGACCTCGACGTCGTCGGCTTTGGCAGCGTCGAGTAGCTGCGCCTCGGGCTACGCAAGCATGAGCAGACGTCTTGCAGGCCATCGCGGACGGTCAGTAGTCGGGGGCGTGGCATCGGCGTCGGCGTCGATTGTCCTACGTGGCAGCCCCAGGTTTTGCGTGTCTATGCGGACGTCCGGAAAACACCATCCGGCCTTCTAGCGACCCGGGGTACACAAGTTGCCTCTCGCCATGAACACACTCGTACCCCGGTGTACAAGCACCCGAGGAATGTCCTGCGATTTGTCGTTCGCTCAGCGTTCAAGCGTACTAGGTGTCCGTGGCGAGGCTTTTGCATGTAATAGGGACAACTCGTCAATTACTTTGTAATAGATAACTTGATAGTTCGTGTTGACGGAGGAGATTCAAGCCACATGGAGTCGCAAGAGCAAGTGATCCACAAGCGCGTCGATCGCAGACTCGCGGACGCCTACCGTGAGCGAACTCTTACTAAGCTTCCAGTGGTCTGGGTGTAGGCCCACATGAATGGACACTGTCGTACATTTCGGGCAGATGCTGGGAGCTTAAAGTTGCCTCAGTGACTGCGAATACCTCTTTCATTCTCGAGATCCTCGGGACGCCGTCTTGGTACGCGCGTCGTTGTCAAATTCGACGGACGAGGTCGCTCAGCAGCACTCATACGGGACGTTCGAATGCTCGTGGACAGTGATGACTACTTTGGCAACGCGCATAAAAGGTTAGATTAGCCAAACCCGTTGTTGACCATCGTCGGTAGACCGGGGCGAAAGATATGGCGAAGCAAGTCGGCGCCTCAGAAACATCGCGGCCACGGTGACTGCGCCGGCATGGCAAACGACGTCAACGCGAGCTCGGCTGCGAGACGCTACATGGTACAGCCCACCGAGTCAAAGCCCACGGCTGGCCGTCCACTCAACGCCAAGCGCATCCAGTTGGACTACATTAAACGGCGCGACACCCGCCCGAGGCATTTCCCTCAGAGACTTGACAAGGGAACCGAGTTGGAGGCTGTGCACGAGCGCCGGCCAGGGCTCCGTAGCCTCGATAACAAAGTCCTCGGGTACGTCCAAGTGGTGGTAGAGGGTTTTGAACGTCTCCAGCACTATGAACCTCAGCATCCACAGTGCGTCAGAGCCATCGCATCCTGTCGAGCGATTGGGACGAGAGGCTTATAGCGCACAATGCTCGGCTTCCGCACTCGCGGTGATGCATTATCACAACGTGTGTGATGGTATTGATGTGGCATCGTATGCCAGAGCATGCACATGTAAACACTCGATCGCAATGACGTGGCAATCGGAGAAGGTCCCATTTCCAAGCAAACGTCCAGTCGTGTGAAAACAAGTGTAAAAACGAGCACGAAAGAGGCAAAACGCAGTGCTTTTACAAGAGAATCGGAAAAAACCTGGAGCGCTGCTCATTCCGCAATTTGCGCCCAGGGCCTCGGTCGCACGGCACCGTATCGCACGACAGGGCGGTCGCAAGCGGGCGTCCCGCCCACTGTGGACGGTGAAACTCGTGTGGCCGAGGCCCTTCTTTTGTCACGCATCCATGCAATGCAGGACATTGGCTCAACAGGTAAGCGCTTGCAAAGATCGCGTCGTCCTCCTGCAGCGTGCGAATGCTTCTCGTCGAGGACCGATGCCAAGCCAAGCACGATTGGTGGTACCAGTAACGTATTGAGCGGCGTCACAACCATTGAGCGCCGGCGCAACCTCCTTGACGCAGATGTACAGGCGCAAAAGAGGCTCGCGGAGGTGTCGCTTCACAATCGGGTCGTGGCTGCTAGCATCAATGCAGCGCTGGTCGCAGCCATCGGCGCCATATTGGTAGAAATGCCATTGCTTCCACGTTACCGCGCAGTGAGTTCCGCAGTCGATGCGCCGAGACGAACGCGGATAGCGACAACCTCGAGCACCTTTGCGATGTCCTCGGCCCTTGTCACACTTGCGTCGTGTGACACGACGCACTCGTGTCGAAGTATCCGGACAATAACCGGACACCAAGTGCAATTCCAAAATGGGCGACCCGACGACGAGCCGCGACAACGTCGGCGCTGCAGTACAAGCGCGCCGCGTCGCGTTCGAAGCGCGCATGTCGTCTTGAAGCATCGAGCCTGGTGGATCCAACCTCGAGCACCTCACGCACGACGTCTCGCGTCTTGCACACGACAGCCAGCGCCAAGCACCGAGCCGATGGCGGCGCAGCGACAACATACCGCCCGCCGCAAGCCTCTCACTCGACGTCGCGTCAGATGCGATCAATGTTCGAGGTACCGACTATCGGAGCTTCCAGCCCTTGGCGGTCAAAGTGGCCGCGCGCGCCCATGGTTCATGGCGTGCTTGGTCGGACCTCGTTCTTCAATGCGATGGCCCGGCGCTCGTTCACGGTTGGCACAAGGTACCACACATCTTTGACGCCACTTGCGTCTCACAGAATGACTATGCTCCTGCCTCGAACGAGGTTTCTCGTCTGCCACTTTTTGTGGATCACCTCCACCACGTCGTGCTTGACCCCAGGAAAAAGCATGCGCGCGCTCGTTCCGGACCAGCTCTGAATAGCATTCCTGACGCTTTTGAGCAGACACCTCTGACGCTGACGACGTGGTCTGTCTACTACTCGACAGAGGACAGCGACGACGTCCTTTACAACGCGCCGTCGCTCGCAGGTATCCTCATCGCAACCTTCGCGCGATCGTGCCTGCGCGTCTTTTGCCCGACACACACGATACCGAGCTTCTTGCACACTTTCCGCGCCTTCTCGTGCTCTTGCACCGCCGGTCGTCGTGCACGGCGCGCGCAAGGACGCCGTTGCAACCTCCAGGCCCGGTTCGTCTCGGGAGACGACCTCGCACCGCCGGCCGAGAACGACGACGAAGACGACGACGACGACGAGAATGGCGAGATGGTGTCGGCGGGACGTGACCACGTCGACAACTTTTTACGCGGTGCCGGGTCTCACGGACGTGTCCCTCGAAGCCAAGTTCTGCGCTGCTTCGCGCCTCGAGCACCCAGCGTGCTCGTTTGACGCTCTCGAGGTTGCCACCAGCGGTATTAACGAAGCGCTCGTCTTGAGCAACGTTATCCAGTCGCGCGTGGCCACGACGCTCGAGGTGGCGGCAACTACCAACGTCTCGTGCGACGACGTGGGCATTTATTGCACGCCGGACGACACGCTGTCCACCAAGGTCAAGATGAGGGCCGTTCAGAGGTGCAAGTTCGCGAGGAGCTCGCGTGGAAGCGGGCCGCCGACCCGGACGCGACGGCCAAGAAGGTCAAGAACACCAAGCAAGAGCTCAAAATGCTTTGGCACCAACAAAGGGACTGCGCAGCAGCTTGCGCGCGGCGCCCGAGGCGTTCTAGCCGGCGCTGCCGCACTTGGTGGAACCGCTTCTGCCACATGTCGCGGACGTTGCCTTGTGCGCAACCCCGAGATTGCCTCCATTTTGCCCGTATGCTTGCAGGACCTCAGCCGACGACGCAGGCGATGACGCAGGCGATGACGCTTGTGCACTCGATCATCGACGCGTCGTCGCTTGCGCTTGAGGTGCTCCACCTCGCGCCATATCTCCTCGACACGATCGCGCCTGCTTCCAGATGCAGCTACTCGACCCGATTCCAAAGGCCGGCTCGGTCACGAACAAGACCCATGGTATGCTCGTCAAGGGCCTTGGCCGCAGCTACTTTCCGTACCTCGTGCCGCGCTTTCTTACGCCACTGATGGTCTTGGGTACGGTGCTGCACTACCACATTGACCGCATTCTCCAGCAACGAATACGTATCGCTGGTGACCGCTTCCCTGGCGACATCGAGGCTCGAGATCTTGCCCATCAAGGTCGGCGACACGTACCAGCACTTTTTGCCCATCTCCAGACGACGGTCGTCTCGGAGCTCAACAATACGAGCGCGTCCACCTCGTTGCGCTCAAGCCGCGCATTGACCTGCCGATTGCCGAGTTCACGGACAAGGTTGCGTCGGCGACGGACAGCGTCCAGCAGGCCAACCTTGACGCGCTCGTTGCCACCAACGTCTGTGTCAAGGTCTCTCGCTCCGCAGCGTCAAGCACGGTGTCGCGATGGTCAAGCAGCTCGTGCAGTTGTCGACGGTGCTCTGGACGCTTCGCCTCTAGGCGGCGCTGGTCGCATCGGGTTCGCTGAGCTTTTCACCGGTGCTGACGTGGGTTACCAACGCGCTTCCGGCGCCGGACGTATCGACGCTCGCCCGCGACAAGAACACACCCGTCAAGTCGCCGAGCCAGTGTAGCACCTGAGGGTGTCAAAGTATTCTCGAGGCGCGGCCAAAAGAAGCCATCGACGACTAAAGCATGGACGGGCTCTGCAGCATGCTCTAAGAGCATGAAATGGAATAACGAGCGACGTGATCCACGAGCTTATGAGCTGCGCTTACTTGGACGAGTTCAAGTGCCTTATGCTACGGGTCGCACCAAACAACACTTCCCAGAGTACGTTGACGGATGTTTGGTCGTATACCTAGCTGCTCGTGTAGTCCATGGTGATGTCTGATAAAAGAGTTGTGTGGGATGGCCGCTCTGGTTTAGCCTCGTCTGAACCGACCCGAAAGTACCAAGAGTGTTACATTTCCATCGTACCACAAACGAGGCTTAGAGCCGCCCGCTAGTCCTCTGCTACTCAGTCTTTTGGTTATAGTGCTTGAACGTAATGGATAGTTTATTGTCCATACTTGTTTTTGGGAACGCTATTGGCGACGATAAGGCCTGAATTGAGAGTTTGATATTCACAGACTCAGCGATCCGACATCATAACAGTATATCAGGCTGACATATTTTAAATAGTGTGCAATCTACCACTGCTTCCACGATCGACGCCGCACAGACGCGTTAATGCGAGGCTGCGCCGGTTCCTGTCGTTTTATAGCATCCTGGTATCATGGAGATGAAGGTTTGGACGCCGAACGCAGCGCATGCATGCGAATCCCAACGTTGATTTTTCGAGGCGGTCAAATAAACGCCTAAATGCACAACGTGTTTTCACGCAGTTCGAAAACTCGACCAACTTCGACGCGGGCAGCCACAGTTGGCTATGTATATGGAGTGGCCCAGCGACTTGCGTTTGGGACGTGGTAGGCGCTTGGACTCTCACAGCAACGTCGTACTGCCGAGCGTCGTTCACCGACTTGTACATAATAATTCGAGTAAAAATGTTGCGTTCTCGCCAAATCCGAGAGCGCTATCTCTCTTACATGGTATCGGAGAGTATGTTACATTGACGATGGTGGCTCTAGAGTCCGCTACGGCGCCGCTAGCATTTTATTATACTATTTGCATTCATACACTCTACCGGGAAATATTAGCTTCAAATAGTATGCTCAATATATTGTCAAGAACTCTCGCCGCAGAGCTCGAACAGTGACGACATACAGCGTTTCGTACTCTCCAAAGTGCATTCTATCACCATGCCAAGTATGAGCGCTTTCGTTTTCAATCGCGAATTGTGCTCCAACTCTCGCTTCACCTTGCGTTTGGCGTTCGAACGTGGCTATATTTGGTATTTATGGTAATACGAAAATTAAGGTTGGACGCGCACAACGCGAGCCAATACATGGCGCTTTGAGCCTTCATAATCCTAGACAGACGTGTCCTTGGCCACTGAAATGATCCCAGTGTTGCGGCTCCGCGCATAGAGCGTGGTTTCGAATATACAAATCAATTCATTGCAAAATCATCTAGTATTTTCACTTATACTAATAGTATACTAGTATCTACATGGAATAGCTCTACGTTAGCGCCGGAGGAGCGTCTTGAGTCGGCGCTGCCCGACGGCCTTGCGCTCGGCGCGCTCGTGTCGAAGCTGGTCGATGCGACTGGAGGAAGACGACGATGACTTGACTGTCTTCGTCTTCTTGAGCTCCGTGTGCGTCGTATTACCGGCAAAGTCGAGCTCGTCGGCTTCCCGCGTATCGTTGGCAGCGGCCATGAGCACCTTGGGCTGCCCGCGATCGCAGCCATGGGGTCGGCGTTCGCTGCACATGGCGCCTCGGTGGCGTCGTTGTCGTCTTGGCTCTGCTGGAGGGCAGGCTTGCGAAGGAGGCTTGCGTCGACCCGTCAGGCAGTGGACCGGACTCAGCGCGCCGCCAAGCGCGATGCCATCGTCTGGGTACTTCGCAATGCTAGCGAATGGCGGCGGCGCGATCTTGTTGGGCGCCAAGAGGTCCACAGCCGGCGGCGTCGGCTTGGTCTTCTTGAACATCTCGAAGCGGCCGTCGAGGTTCCGCTTGCGCTTCTCGCGGAAGGCAGTGCGCTCTGCCTCTTCGTGCAGCCCATCGTCGCGCCGGACCTTCTCGATGTTCGCGCGCGTCCACGTGCTTGCGGATCCGCAGCGCGGCTCATGTAACTCGCTCGATCTGGAATGGATGTTTTTATTGGCTCAATTATTCATTCTTTCTAGCCAATCACAAGACTTGGTTCACTCGTCGTAAATAGTGTGAGAACCATTTAGCACAACGACGAGTAGCAGCCCACATACGCGCCAGCATCATGTAGCAGTCGTGTATACATCTCCACACACTTCTTAAATGACGTACATGTCATTTCTGACGCTGCACGTAGCGCAATCACGCGCAAATCTATTTTCCATTTTTTGAGGTGGTGGCAGAATTGCCCAAATACTTTATGTGACATCGCGGGGTTCCAAAGCTCCAAGGACCGTAAGACTGGCTACCACAGCTGGCGATGGGTCTTGACCCGGTGTGCGACCAGTTTGTTGGGCGCCGTCGTTGGTTGGGCACTCATACCAAACTCGAACTGCCGAGCATCGGTTTTCACGAAATTCAACATGTAATTTCGGTTGAAAATGCGGCGAAGTCGCGAAAACCGAGGACATCATCTCTTTTTGTTCATGTTTGAGAGTGTGTTGCATGTGGCTGAGGGAGACAAAATGCGCATGATACCGCTACGTGATGAGGCCTCGTATCCCGTACAGTATTTCAGTATAGCGAAAAAGCACATTATATCATCAAATTGTTTGCCGCTGTCATTTGCTCTCGCTACAGAGCTCGCACGGCGACTTCACAAAGCATTTTAGACTCCCCAAAGTGTGGTCTAGCACTTTGGCAAGTATGGGGCGATTTTGTTTCCCAATTTCATTTTCGTCGATCCGCCGGCGCGGCGGGCCTGTGCTCACCAAAATATGGTAATTATGGTTGTAAATGGCGAACGCCAATAGTAACGACAGGGACGCCAGAAAGACGACGCCGAGGCTCCTCAGGCGCCACTGACACTGCTGCATTGCGCTCGAGAGGACTCCATCAGCGTTCTCTACGCCATCATGAGGAGTCGCTCGGTCGCAATGCAGTGTTCCTCGTCGGTCTCCCTCGTTTCCGTCAACGCCAAAGCGTTCAAGCCAATCAGAGCGGCAAGACTCTAGATTGTGGCCAATCACCAGTGTTCTTGCCGCAGTTCTGGAATCGCCGCCAACCAAGGCACGTGGTACGTGGCAAGCCGTGCGCAGGCCTCAGGCCGAGGCCTCACACGATGTTGATGTAGACATGGCGCAACCTATCCATGCGTGACGAGCCACCGAGTCGGGCCAACGACGGAGTCCTGGCGACGAGTGACGCTCTGTATGGGCCTGCCACAACGTCCTGCAATACTGTTGTCTACACCAATGAGAAGTCTCGATTGTTCGCTCACCTTTGTTCCCTTGGCCTATCACATCGTGGTATTTTATTTTGAACTCAATCCGTGTGGAAGGATAGCTATTTAGTGGCGGCCGAGGCCCCACACGACACGCACACACGAGCAAAGGCGCGGGAAAGATCGTATCTTTCGCCCCAGTGGTTTCATGCAACTTTTCACGAACGGTCATGAATCTCATTGGTCCAGATAAGGCATTGCAAGTTGTGATTGGCTACGAAATTTTGGCCGGGCGAGCGCCCGTTCAAATCTCCCGCCAACAATGATGCCACACATGTTCACTTCTCGATTTCCTCACCAACGATGAAGACCCGCATTGGAGTGTACCTCGCGGTAGCCATCATCGTCCATGCCAACGCTCACAAAGACGTGGCATCTGTCGCGTCGAAGGACGTCACGAAGGCGACTGCAACATCCCGCGCTCTCGCTGCGGCAGAAACAGAGCTACAGCCGCAGTTGTTCGATATCATCTCGAATGTGCTCGATCCCATCACGGGCGTACTCGATCCCGTGCTCGATCCCATCACGGACATACTCGATCCCGTGCTCGATCCCATCACGGGCGTACTCGATCCCGTGCTCGATCCCATCACGGACTTGCTTGATCCCGTGCTCGATCCAATCACGGACTTGCTCGATCCAATCACGGACGTACTCGATCCCTTGCTCGATCCCATCACGGACCTGCTCGATCCAATCACGGACGTCATCGTGCCCGTGCTCGATCCCATCACGGGCCTGCTCGATCCCATCACGGACGTACTCGAACCCGTGCTCGATCCCATCACGGGCCTGCTTGATCCCATCACGGACGTCATCGTGCCCGTGCTCGATCCCATCATTGACGTCCTCGATCCCATCACGAACGTGCTCGATCCCATCACGGGTGTACTCGATCCTATCATTGACGTACTCGATCCCATCACGGGTGTACTCGATCCCATCACGGGTGTACTCGATCCCATCACGGACGTACTCGATCCCATCATTGACGTCCTCGACCCCATCATTGACGTGCTCGATCCCATCACGAACGTACTCGACCCCATCATTGACATCGCGCCGATCACGAACGTTCTCGACCCCATCATTGACGTGCTCGATCCCATCACGGACGTACTCGACCCCATCACGGGTGTTCTCGATCCTATCATTGACGTACCGGTACAGCCAACGTACTCCAAAGGGCCTCGGTATGGGCCGACGCATGTCGACTACGCGGCCAACCACCACTACCGGGAGGACTCGGCTGACGTTGACACGGTGACGATTGCCGACGAAGAGGGGTGTCCCGAGGTGCCATGCCGCGAGGTCTTGGACTTTGAGAATGGCAAGTGCACGTACACGCAGCTGCCGCGCGGTACGCTCTGCCCGGGCCAGAGCTGCGACAACGACGGTCCGTGCGATGCCGACGAGAATGACTACTGCGACGGCGACGGCACGTGTCTTAACGGCTACAAGGACCAAACCACCGTCTGTCGCAAGGCCCGCAACCTCTGCGACGCGGCTGAGTACTGCCGTGGCGACAACAGCCAATGCCCACACGACGAGTTTGCGCCGTCGTCCAAAGTGTGCACCAAGATGGGCAAGTCCACGGGTGGCCCGTGCGACGCACCCGACTACTGCGACGGCCATGGTCGCTGTGTGGACAAGTTCCAGTCGAGGAGACATATTTGCCGCCACGCGGTCGACGTCTGTGACAATGCCGAAACGTGCACGGGTGTTAGCGGCGACTGCCCTAGCAACAGCTTTGCACGCAAGGGTATCGAGTGCACCGCGATTGGCCAATCGTCGGGCGGCGCGTGTGACGACGTTGACCGTTGCGACGGCTACGGCAAGTGCGTTGACCACTTCAAAAGCACGAAGCATCTCTGCCGCCGGGAAGCCGACGTTTGCGACGAACCCGAGTACTGCTCGGGTGAATGTGGGGTCTGTCCCGATGACGTCGCCGCGCCCATGGGCAAGGTCTGCACACACATTGGCAAGTCGAGTGGTGGCAAGTGCGACGGTGTCGATGTCTGTGACGGCCATGGTCGCTGCATCGAAACCTTTCTTGGCAGCGACGTTGTCTGCCGCCAAGCGAGTGATATTTGCGACGTGCCCGAGTATTGCACGAGTTACAACGGCAAATGCCCCCGCGACGAGTTTGCATCCCGAACGACCGAGTGCACGTCGATCGGAGAGTCGTCCGACCACGCGTGCGACGGCGTCGACTACTGCGACGGCAGCGGCAAGTGCGTCGACACCATTGCGAAGGACACGTTGTGCCACGCCGCCGAGGACCTCTGCGACACGAGCCGCTTTTGCAACGGCGTCCACGCCTGGTGCCCCCACGGCAACGATGGCGCACGCTACGGTGACGACTACGCCTCGGCCTTTGCGTACAAGGCGCGCCAGTGCTCGGCCAAAGCAACACAGAAGTTTGTTTCGGTGTACGATGCCCCTGGGGGCCAAGCAGCGCTGCTCTTGGTTGCCGTGGCCATGGTGGGTGCTGTCGCGGCCATGGTTGCCGTCTCCGTGTCCAAGAAGGAGGGGTCGTCGATTATCTCGATGGAAGATGGCTACGTGCCGCTGACTCAAGACATGCTCTAAGTCATCGCCCCCTCGTTGCGTGTCCATTAGTTGCTGTTAGATTTCGGTCCAAAATATATAGTTTATTGTTTCTCGCTATGCAAGCTATTGACTTGTTTACGCCACGGGAAGGAGGCAAAATGACGCATCTACGATCTCCACACATCGAGAAAAAAGTTGCGCAAAAGAACGAACAATCGAAGGGCCCGAGAAGGTCAATGCAATCGATAGAATATTGTACGTTAGTAGGCGTTTAAACTGTCGCCTCGCTTCCGTCATGGCCGTGTGCATATACTAGAGATGCTTTAGCGATCGTCGTCGACTTGATTGCAAAAAGAGAGCCAGCCATATACTCAAATTACCGTATTTTATACGCGTCTTCGACGTCATGCAGCGACATCAAAACCCTGGATGTACGTACTTAAACTGCCGCCACGCTTCCGTCATGGCCGTGTGCATATACTAGAGATGCTTTAGCGATCGTCGTCGACTTGATTGCAAAAAGAGAGCCAGCCATGATCTGCAGTGGTGTTGGCTTTGGTTGGGGTTTTGGTGGCGGCTGCGGTCTCTTTTTGCTGTTCCGTTGCGGCGGCTGGCTCTAGACTCCATGTTTTGTGTGAAGCTGCAACGTACGATATACCGGTAACTGTCTTTCAAATCAATGCTTCTCTTTGATCTACAGCCGTCTATCTCACCGAGGTAGAATTCACGCATTCATGTTGCAATCTCCTTAGATACATCAAGACCATGTCGTACATTTCAGATATACGCAGCGGCTGTGTCATGGCCATGGAGCGTAGCGAGCTTGTCTCCTTTGGCGCCTGGATGCGGCAACCTGAGGAGCTGGCTGACCAACGCCGCGGACTGATAGTCATAGAAGTAAGGGCATATTTTTTTATTCATTCGGCAAAAGAGAGCGTCGTTCGGCTTCTTCAAGGAGGCTGCGATTGTGTCTTTCATCGCCTTTTTCTTACAAATGGCATGTGCCATGTGGACGTCCCTCGTGATGCCGCCAATAGTACAATTAGGCATAACCTCGGACACCAGTTTCCAGCGCTGCAGACCGCGCATAATGGTGCAACTTGGTGCTACGTGCTACAAAAAGTATACTTTACGACTGTACCAACTTTAAGCCATTCCGTATTTTTGACCAAGTCTGGCCAACCGCGACGGCCAATTCCTCAATCAGGAACACCTCGACAAGTTGCGTGCTGTTAGCCACATTATCCGGATATCTGGTGTTGGTGCCACGAAAAGACGATGTTGTGGCTGCCGAGCTCTTGTCCATAGTGAGTGGCGCGCCATCTCGAAGCATTCAAAGTATCACCAGGCCGCGCAATAGACACCATTGCGTTTGAAAATGAACTCGCCAAAAATGGCACATTTGTAGAGGGCGCATTGGACAGCTCGAAATGCAAAGTCGCGTCGACGTTCGAGGCGTACAGCGGTACCGAGACGCGATCCAAGATGCACACCAAACTAAGATCGTAGCACCATCTGAGAGGCGCGACGCACTACAAACTAAGATCGTAGTACCATCTTATAGCCGCCACGCTAGGACGCACCGCACGCGCAATGCTCGACAGCAGTGCTCCGATTGCATGGACTTTTCTTCCGCACTCTCTCGCGGTGATTTAATTTCGTATTATATCACTCGTGTAAAACGTGTGCCAGACTACAATGCGTCCTCGTATACGAGAGATGAGGTATTCACAAGTTTAATCGATTTCTATGACGTGGCATTCGGAGAAGATCCCATTTCCAAGCAAACGTTCAGTCGTGTAAAAACAAGTAAAAAACAAGCAGGACAAATGCGAAACGCAGTGCTTTTACAAATAGAATCGGTAAAACTTAGAGCGCTGTTCAATCTGCAATTTGCGATCGAGGGCCTCGGTCACACGGCAGGGCGGTCGCTCCTGCCGACTGTGAACGGTGAAACTCGTGTGGGCGAGGACCTTCTTTCGTCGTTCATACCTTCGATTCAGGACATTGAATCACCAGGCTAGCGCTTGCAACGACCGCTGCGTTCTCATGCAGCGTGCGAATGCCTCTCGTCGAGGACACATGTCACACCGAGCCACATCAAGCCTGGCGGGTGGAATGCGTATCCGGACAAGATCCGGATACCAACAGCAAGCGCAATACCAAAACGGTCGACACAGCGGCAAGTCACGACGTCGGCGGCGGCGGAGAAGGAGCTGCGCAAGCGCCGCGTCGTCTTCAGAGTGCGCACGCGAACTCACGGCGCCAATCCCGACGAATCCAGCTCAAGCACCCGCGCATGGCGTCCTGCTGCTTGTACATGGTAGTCAGCCAGAGACTGCTGGTAGCGCCACCCCAACCTTCCGCCCGCAGCAAACCTCTCGCTCCACGTCGCATCAGATCTGTTCTCTGCTCGAGCTTCCGGCGACCGGAGCTTCCAGCCCTTGGCAGTCACCTACAGTGGTCGTGCGCGCCCATGCTCGACGGTATTCGTGGCCAGACCTCGTTCTCCAATGCGTCGCCCGGCGCTCGTTCGCGTTTGGCAGTCGGTACCACACATCTTTGACGACACTTGCGTGTTACAGCTTGACTAGTTTCCTGAATCGGGATCCTCCGCCGCAACCTGCGCGCGTTGGCCCGAGACTGCGAATCTCGCGCTCGTCCCGCGCCTTCTCGCACCACCTGCTTGTCGTACACGGCGCACGCCAGGAAGCCACTGCGACTCCGGGTCCCGTTCGTCTCGGGAGACGACCTCGCACCGCCGGCCGAAAACGACGACGAAGACCACGACGACGACGAGAATGATGAGATGGCGCGCGACCACATCGACGCCTTTTTGCGCGATGCCGGGTCTCACGAAAGTGTTCCTCAGCACCAAGGTCTACGTTGCATCGCGCCGCGAGGTTGCCGCCAGCGGTTTGTGCAACGTCATCCAGTCGCGCGTGGCCACGACGCTCGAGGCGCTGGCAATTACCAACGCCGGCATTTATTGCACGCCGGACGACACGCTGTACACCAAGATCAAGATGAAGGCCGCTGGGAGGAGCAAGCTCGCGGAGAGCTCGTGTGGAAGCGGGCCACCGACCCGAACGCGACGGCCAAGAAGGTCAAGAACACCAAGCAAGAGCTCAAAATGCTCGGGCACCCCAACTAAAAGGGACTGCGCAGCAGCTTGCGCCCAGCACCCTCTCGAGCCCTGCCGAAATGTACAACTGGAGCGTCAAGCCGGATCGGTACGTGCGCCAACGGTGCTTTCTTCATCGCATCGCCCGCCTAGGCGTATCTACCTTAGCTTCCGCATGGTCGAGATCCAAGGCACGTCCATTGCCGGCTACTCATACAACGAAGGCATCGAGAACATCAGCCAGACGTCGCGACCCGTCACGACCGGCTTTTGCGACATGAGCCGCGGCCTCGTCCGCGCGCTCCTCTCTCCTCTTTGTATGGCTCGTGCACCGTGTTGCGGCAGAAAGGCGACCCGGTCGACGACGAAGAAGACGAGACCGAGCTCGAGCCCGAGGAAGAAAACAAGCTGCGTCTGCGTGCGATCGAGTCGGAGCAGATGAAGACGCTCGTGGTCACGCAGCTGCACAAGGAGGTGTGGGCCATGGACAAGACGCAGCTGTAGCAAGCCATGACCAAGGACGTCGACAACATCATGCTGCAGCAGCGCCGCAAGCACATCAAACAACGTATCACCAAGCTCCAAGATCGGCAGCACGGCAGCAGCGCCAGCAGCAACGCCCTGCGATCCGAAAGTAGCAGCAGTGACTCGGCGCCGCACGACTACCTACAGCAGCGGGCGCACATGAATTTGATGGAGCTGCTCGTTGGCGACATGGACCGCGCGCGCTTCAACGCAACCGAGCTGCTCGCTCGCCCCGATGTCGACGCGCGCCGGCTCAACCACAGCGAGCTGCACGTTGACGCCCGGGGCGGTTTGGCGGCACAGAGCTGCACTCGGGCAGCTCGTCCATGAGCTCCGAGGGCAAGCGCCGGTCCAACTCGGTCAAAGGACGCGGCGTCTCGAGCCACAGCAGCGCCAGCAGCAGCAGCAACAGCAGCAATGGCATGCGCTTGCACGACCCAGCCGACTACGCGCCCTTGTCTCTCGACCAGCTCGAGCGCGAACTCGTTCGTAGCGTCACACCCGCGCGCTCTCATGTCAATTCTACGTAGCTGGTCGTAAAGGAAGCAATGCGAGCGCCACAACTGGATGGACTCACACGGGACCGGTACCGACGACAACTCTCGGAGCTCAACGCGCGCATCGCACGCGCTCGACGCCAAGCGCGGCAGCTCTGTCCTGCGCTCCGAGCTTGCGGAGCTCAAGCAGCACCTCAAGGTCGTCGGCACGCGACTCTAAGAGACGAAGCACGAGAAGACGTTCCGTGCGCTACTACAAAAGCGCGCCGACCTCAAAGGAAAGATCGCGCGCCTCGAGCAGCAGCTGGTGCCCGAGATGCCAACGGCGCCCGCGCCACTGCACCCGAATGCGTCGCCAGCCGAGATTACCATGTACATCTCGGGGCGCAAGCGCGAGCTGGTACGACTACGCTGCACTGAGAGCGATCTTATGGTCTCGAATTAGCGCGACGTGGTGCAAAAGCTCATGAAGACGACTCAAGACAAGGACAGCGTGAGCAGCAGCCTCTACATGGCCCGGCGAAAAAAGCTTAAGCAGGCTATCCTCACGGCGCAGGAAGCTCTGCAACGAGCGTCGGCCGTCACGACGGCATCCACCGACGCGCCGACGTCACGCGCGCCGAGCGAAGCGACCATGGACGCGCCTGCTGTCGAAAAGCGCATTGCGGCTCTCAAGCGGGAGCTGGTACCCAACGTCTGTTGCAACTAATCTCATGTCGTCGGTAGCGCGAGATTGTGTCGGCCGTCGCCCAGCCCACGTCGTCGACGGCCCAGATGCCCGAGCTCCTCCGCCGGCGCAGCATCGTCAAGGAGCACCTCGCCGCCGCTCAGGACCATTTGGCACAGATCACGTCGCCCGACGTCGAAAAGGCGAGGCACGAGATCGCTGTCGTGCAGCAGTACATTGCATCTCTCCAAGACGACCTCGCTGCAGTCCTCGCCAAGATCAGCTCGAAAGCGCCGGCCGATTTGGCCAAGTCGTCGACTTGGCGAAGACCTCGGCGCGGAACGTCTTTGTCAACTACGCGCGCGGCAACACCTTTGACCTGCATGTCGTGAACCCCGGCTTGCTCGCCAACATGGAAGAAGTTTCGCGCTTTATTGCGCCGTCACCCGCCGAAGCGCACAAGTGGGTTCGCGCCATTAACGACAGGATCAAGGTCCTCGAGACCGCAACGCCGATGGGTGCCGACGGCTTTGGCCGCAACTCGGTTGTCTTTTAAACAATCAACTACTATGAACCTAGTTGTTGAAGAAGAGGGAAAATATGTCGCAGCACCCTAGCATTCCTGTACGCACCCAGCGACACGATCGACCAAACGCGCACTTACAGTGGGCTCTGTAAACTTGAGCAAGCCTACGCGCACTCGTAATCTCCTTTTTCATGGGTTTTCCACTAGGCTCACACCGCCAACGCATAGCCAGGTCGCCCGGTCGACCAGATAGCGTTTGAAACTGAACTCGTCAAGACTTGGCACAATGGACGAGGGCGCTGTGAAGAGCATGAAATGCGAGCCCGCGTCGGCGTGCGAGGCGTACAGTGGCAGCGCGGCGCGATCCAAGATGCACTTTGAACTAAGATCGTAGTGCCATCTGAGAGGCACGGCGCACACCAAACTAAGATCCTAGTGCAATCTTGAAGGCACCACGCCAGAATGCGGACGACATTTGTCTTCACCATCATGTTTCAAATGGAATCGCGTATAGTTAGCACGGTGATCAAAGACCTTCTGGGGAGCAGAGCAGAGCACGCTTCATCGACGCTGCAGTCGTACAACACCCGCAATGCTCGACAGCAAATAGAAAGCGCTCTTTACCGGTTAAAAAGAAAATGAGCGCTGTGGCACGCAGTAGTCGTCATCTTCTACACTTGTAGCGACGATTGTCCCTTCCGCTGGATCAAACATGCGATTCATAGCAACATTCTTGGAGTTACTATGTCCAGAGCCATCGCATCCTGTCGAGCGCTTGGGACGAGAAGCTTTGAGCTCACAATGCTCAGCTTCCGCACTCGCGGTGATGTATTATCACAACGTGTGTGATGGTATTTATGCCAGAGGTTAGGAGGTTATCGATTGCTGTGACGTGGCACTCGGAAAAGGTCCCATTTCCGAGCAAACGTTCAGTCGTGTAAAAACAAGTGTAAAAACGAGCACGACAGAGGCGAAACACAGAGCTTTTACACGACAATTAGAAAACCCTTGAGGGGTGCTCAACCTGCGACCGCCCTGCCGTGCGACGCGGTGCCTCGGTTGCACGACAGGGCAGTCGCAAGCGGGCATCCTGTCGACTGTGGACGGCGAAACTCGTGTGGCAGAGGTCCTTCTTTCGTCACGCATCGCTTCAATGCGGGACATTGGTTTACCAGGCAAGCTCTTGCAAAGATCGCAGTGCCCTCATGCAGCATGCGAATGCTTCTTGCCGAGAACCGATGTCTCGCCAAGTACGATTGGTGGTACCAGTAACCTTTTTGAGCAACGTCGCGACCATCAAGCGCCTGCGCTAGTACCTTGGCGTAGCTTACTTGACGCAGGTGTACAGCGTACACAGACGCGAAAGAGGCTCGCGGAGGTGTCAATCCAGTGTCGGGTCGTGGCTGGCTGCAGCCATCGGCGCCGTAGCGGTAGAAAGACCACTGCTTCTACTTTGGACGCCTACACGATGTGAGGTATGCAGTCGATGCGCCGAGACGAACGCCGACAGCGACAACCTCGAGCGCCTGTGCGAGGAGAGTGAATCGCACTCGTTGCATCGTGTCGAAGTATCTGGACAATATCCGGACGCCAATACTCCAAAATGGGCGACACGACGGTAAGCTGTGGCGACGTCGGCGCTGCAGTAGGTGCTGCGCGCACTTTATCTCGCAACATCGAGCCTGCCGGATAAACCTCGAGCACCTCACGTATGATGTCCTGTTGCTTGCACATGGCAGCCAGGCGCGAGACCGCTACCAGCACAGCACAAAATACCGCCCACCACGCACCAAACGATGTTTTTCCAGAGTACGTTGACGGAAGCTTGGTCATATACCTAGCTGCTCGTTTCATCCATGGTGACGTCTGGAAAAGTATTCGCGTCGACCCAAAAGTATCAAGAGTGCTACATTTGAATTGCGCAACAAACGAGGCTTGATGTCACCCGCTATTCCTCTGCTACTCAGCCTTTTGGTTTTAGTGCTTAAATGCAACAGGTAGTTTATTGTACATACTTGTTTTTGGGAACGAATTTGCTATTGGCGACGATAAGGCCTGAATTGAAAGTTCGATATCAGTTATGCAGATACATAACAGTATATCAGGATGATATATTTTAAATAATGTGAGCTCCAGCACCGCTACTACGATCGACACCGCACAGACGCGTTAACGCGAGGCCGCACCGGTTCCTGTCGTTCTATAGCATCCTTTTATCATGGAGATGAAGGTTTGGACGCCGAACGCAGCGCATGCATGCGAATCCCAACGTTGATTTTTCGAGGTGGCCAAAGAAACGCCCAGATGCACAACGTGTTTTCGCGCAGTTCGAAAACTCGACCGACTCCGACGCGGGCAGCCACAGTTGGCTATGTATATGGACTGGCCCAGCAAGCTGCGTTTGGGACGTGGTAGGCGCTTGTGCTCTCACAGCAAAGTCGAACTGCCGAGCGTCGGTTTTTACGAAATTCGACATGCAATTTCGGTTGAAAATGCGTCGAAGTCCCGGGAGCCAAGGACGCCATCTCATTTTGTTCATGTTTAAGAGCGTGTTACATGTGGCTGAAGGAGGCAAAGTGCGCGCGGTACCGCTGCGTGATGAGGCCTTGTACAGTATTTCGGTATAGCGAAAAAACACGCTATATCAAAATATTGCTTCCGCTGTCATTTGCTCTCACTAAACTGTACAGAGCTCGTACGGCGACGCCACATAGCATTTTGGATTCCCCAATGTGTGGTCTAGCGCTCTGGTAAGTATGGGCGATATCATTTTCAAACTTCATTCTGGTCGATCCGCCGGCGCGGCGGGCCTGGGAACACCAAAATATGGTTATTTATGGTTGTAAATGGCGAACGCCAATAGCAACCACAGGCGACGCCAGAAAGACGACGGCGAGGCTCCTTTGGCCCCACTGACGCTGCTGCATTGTGCTCAAGGAGAACCCATCAATAGTATCTATGCACACGCCATCACGAGGTATCGCTCGGTCGCAATGCAGCGTTCCTTGTCGGTCTCTCTCATTTTCGTCCAGGCCAGAGCGTTTCAGCCAATGAGAGCACAATACGGTAAATTTGTGGCCAATCAGAGCGGCAAGAATTTCATTTTGGAGCCAATCACCAGTGTTCTTGCCGCAGTTCTCGAACCGATCATCGGCGCCAGCCCAGCCACGTGGTACGTGGTAAGCCGTGCGCAGGCCTCGGGCCGAGGCGCTCACGCGACGTCGCTACAGATATAGCACAGCCAATTTTTCGACGGCCTCTCTTGCACGTCGGCCACCGGATCGCCTCCGAGATGTGCTCCTGCAAGCTCCCAAGACCTGCGAGCGACGGCGCGATATGTCTAGCATCATGACCTTCGCGACGTCATGCGCTTGCGCGTCCAGAACGGTTAGCGATACGGCCACATTCGATCCGACAGCACGTTCACTTCAGTAGCAAGAGCGGTTACCGGTGTCCAAACCAAAAAAATTGCCGCCCAATAAGATCTCGTCGAAACCAAGCGTACAAAAGCCTACACTCTTCCTCATCTGGGCGTCTGGTCTCTCGGCGATGACCAATGATGTTGCGCAGATTCCTTTCGAAGCGATATATGGACATTCCAAAGCAATGCGGCCAGTT